TAGTAACATTAATCACATGTCGAAATTCGAAATAGATTGAAATAAATCCAGTCCAACTATGCATTGTAAATGATGTGTAGCTGAAGCGGAAAATGTGTCTTATAGAAACAACCCATCTGGCATTCACCATTGATTAACATTAAATCCTATGAAAAAACCAAGATGCAATTTACCTTTTGTGCATGGAACAGACAGATTCTTTAAAACGTGTTGATATTGAAATGTATTTTGGCGAACCTATTAACACAGCTGACAATTTAAATAAAATATTAATGTCGAATGGATGACAATAGCTGGAATAACAGTTTTGATTTTAAATTATTTTTTACGTTGTTATAAATTTGGTGTTTCGATTTTTTCTTAAATTAATTTTTGTTACTAATTTTGTGTTCCCTTCAAACAGTAAAATATTGAAGTATTCATTTCGTTGAATAAGTGGAATATAAAATAATAATTGTAAAATTGATACGAACGATAATTGTATTGCATTTAATTTCCATATAAATCTATATTATAGTATCAAATATTAAGTATTTGAAAATAAATTGTTTAATATTATTGTATTATTATTAGCTGGTACTTACTCGTGCGTGGTAACAGCCATATTGTACAACTAATTTCGTCTTATTTACGCATTCTGTTTCTATTATTAATATTCATATTTATTAATATATACAAGTAATAGAGAATTTTAAATAAATATTTTCTAGTCATATTTTTTGAATTATCTCTCAGGAGCTTTTTTTCTTTTATAAACACAAATTAATTAATAATTCATAAGCCGTCACAGCTTATAATCTAAAACCCCTACTAAACTCTAAGGTAAAATTGGGTCAGCTCATATTTATCATTTCTCTTGTTTAAGGGAATTTGAGTAAACACTATTGTCTCATTTCTTTAATGCGATCTAATAAATCATATACTTTATCATGATAAAATTATAAAAAAATTAACACTATATATTTATTATCGATGATATTATTATCTATATTCTATATTCTATATTATCTATATTATATTATTTATCTTTTGTTTTATATAGAATTTTTTTTTTTAATTAATCAGTAATATAACGAAAATTTCGTGTAAACAAATTTTACTTAATTTAATTATTTTTAAACGTTGAAATTTTATTTAATATAATCAAATATTTTTATTGGTAAATTTAAACCTGAGACTAATGGAATGTATTTTACATGAGCCCAATGAAATGTATGTATAAAATATAAAAGCATATTTAAGTGTTATGAGTTCTTGTACCTACTAAATATTATTTTTTAATGAAAAATTAAAATCCAATATTGATCAAACCCTTTACTATCCAACCATATTAATTTGATGTTTAAATGGCGTAACGACATGGTGAATGGTGGGGAATAATAGAGATAAATTGACTTGTTCGTCGTCCCACCCGTCATGCATACACTTTTAATGGTTTTAGTTTAAAATAGTGTTCGTTCAGTATTGGGTTTTTAATTATAGGTATATAATATGCAGTGAAACCAATACAAAAAACATTTTCCATTAGTGTAATATATCGTTGATGATAAAACAATCAAATATTTCGTTCAGTGCTTTATATTAGCCGAGAAAAATACTGATTTTTTTTCAGTGTTATGAAAATTAGAATTAAAAAATATACATTTATAAACAAATGCTGATTTAAAAATTAAAATACATAATTATCGAATATCAGGGATATAAATATAGTGGTAGGTACGTATGATCATAGACTCAACTAGGGGGGTGCTTGGGGGTGCTATATCATCCCAAGGCTCAAATTTAGCACTCCCAGTTAAAAAATTAGTAATTGAAAAATTGTGTGAAAAAATAGCGTTATTCTTATTTCATGTAGTTTGATTTAGTTTTATTTGATATTTTTATCAGAAAGATGAATTGATCATGACTATTAGTTAATTACATCGTCAAAAAATACTTGAAAAATATTCCACTAGTAATCGCAAGATAATACTAGTTTAGATATTATATGATGTATATTGTATATCTAATATTTTTTTAATTAGTGTATTTCTTATTATTGTATGACTTGAATAAAATATATATATTGAAATAAATAGGTATGTTACAATTTATGCTTGTTAATTTTTCTAAATTAAAATATTAATGTATGTGTTTTCTTATGGTACATTTAATGATTAAATTGAGATATGATACTTGGGGTTAGTGTGAGCTATGTAATTTTAGTACCCCCCAATATTTGGGCTCTAGTTGCGCCTATGCGTATGATTTCTGATTGGATGAACCAAAAGTGAATTATTTTAAATATTTGTTTATAGACCAGTAGAACTTGACCAAATCATAATAAAGAATCGAGCCAAAAACTACAAAAAATAAATATAAAGTAGAATATTGTGATAAATATAACGTTGAAGTATAAAACGTCCCAAATTCATATGTACGTGAAAGTTCATCATATCATCCATAAAATATAATTAATATATCTAAATGGTAATAATGTTTGAATTGACGGCAGCAAATTAACCCCTTTCCTCCTCCACACAGTAGACACTTGGCAACCTTTTAAGTTATAATATTCAATGTGCCTGTTTAATTCCCATCTGATAATATGAGCCCACTTACTGTCTTCGGAAGTGTAAGCCATAACCGACCGTTCTAAAATAATCCCTTCACCTTACATTGTTGGATTACCTTGGGTACTAAATAATAATAATAAAATATACCTGCGTCAATGAACGTATTGTTTAGTTTATAGTATACTCGTATACTATTATTAAAGAACTACCTACTACAATTTTGCGGTACATGTCCATATAATACAACATATAATTTCAGTATGATTTTACAATATTTCTATGAATATCTTATTGATTTTATGAAAAAAATTGTACAAATAGTTGCGTTCGAAATGTATGTATGTACCTATGAATATTTCTTAAAGATTTATTTATTTAATAACAATGTATTTATTAATGATTTATTGAGTATAGTTTAAATGTAAAATAGCTATATATATATATATATATATATATATATATATATATATATATATATACATAAATACAGGAGCGGTTCCAAAGCCTTGGTTAGGGGGGAGGAGGCAAGTTATAATTTTAAAAAATCTTATAACAAAAAGAAAACAAAGATTTAGTCCGTACAGAAATGTGTGCTACACAATTCATGTGTTGAACATTATAAAATAATAATATCATAGTACCGTACCATAGTAAATTTTATATTAGTATAGTTTATTTATAGCCTTATTGGTTCTTCATAATATAAATAGCAGGTACATTGTATACACCGTCATACCTCTATAGGTCTATCCACATACTTGTGCGTGTCGTATAATATTGTATTATATATTGTCCATATTATAATAAGCACTTTTTGTTAACATTATACATTTTTTTTATAAATACGGTACGGGCTTGGGGGGCCGCTAGAGCCCCTATATAAACATATAATATCACTTAATACTCACAGGAAACAATATCAAGACACAAGTACTAGACAAGATGTGATGCAAATAATATATAATTATAATATAATATATAGTCTAATGAACATGAGTAAGCAAATGTAAGCATTTAATCAAGAAAAGACCACATACCTATTCCTGTTGAGGAATACAAAAAATAAAGAGAACATCAAATATTTGGAAATTGGCAATATTTCCTTTCAACAAGTTAGTTGTTTTAAATATCTAGGTGTTAATATAATACTAATTGTATGCACAAAGGCATTAAACTACACTTTAAGTCTGCTAAGGAACAACTGAGTAGTTATGAATCAGAAAGGATAAAAATATATTAATGTTAATAATATTAACATAATATAGGAAACTGAAACAACAAATAAAAATTAAACATACACTTTTTAATCATACTTAAAACATTTATTCCTTTGGTAAAACTGAATGACTAAATTATGAAGATTATAATAGTATTAGGTAGTTTATACAATAGAAATAACATTGTTTTAAAAAATAGTTACTACACAATATTTAAGTATAAAATACACACGCGCGCGCGCGCGCGCGCACACACACACACACACACACACACACACACACACACACACACATACACACACACATACCTACACACCTACACTCAATCATAGATAGACATTTTTTTTTATCAATACTGGTATTAAATATAAAAATAATTCAATTTGAAAAAAAATTGAAGATGAAAACAATAAGTTAACTTATCACATTTAATACAAAAAAGCAGTATTGTGTTAAATATTATAAGGACATTGATGAATTATAAGAATAATAATACAATTGTTTTAATCGGAAAAATACAAAAGGTAAATGTATGCTCATCTCATATGATACAATAAAATATCAAAAACAATAAAAAAAAAAAGCAATAATCATTTGATATACAAAGCACAAAGAATGTAATATGTGTATATTAATTATTAACTATTTTATCAAAATGGTAACTGTGTTTTAATTGATATATGTTTTGTAAATGGGTTATTTTGAGCAATTTTAATTTTTCTTTAAATATTAAATAAATATTATTCGATAAAATTACAAAAAAAAAAAAAAAAAGGCAAAAGGAGTTGACCACTAAATCAGATATTAAAAATGTTTCTAATAAAAGATAAAAACTGTAAAATAAACATAATTTCTACTACTAAATTCACATAGTATGCAATAATATAATAAGAAAATACTTTTCAATACAAATAAAATACTCTATTCATTAAAAAAAAAAAATAAAAAAAAAATAATTTAAAACAATAATATAGAGATTAACAATTTTTTTTTTTTAACAAAATTAAAATACAATATAATTATAAATATTGCACCATTTAGTTTACAGTACAAACGGGGGAAATAAAGGTTTTCCCAATAATAATAAAAAAACAGAGGTTCAATTTAATACAGATTAATTAATAATTTATTAAAAATATATCATTTATCTTTGTTTGCAGTCTGCTAAAATAATTTATTTAAATATTTTATATATTACATACTAACGTTTTATTAAATAAATCTCATAATTTCAATTAAAATATCATTAAAAATAATTTTACATGGGTCACCAGATTTTTTTTTATAAAAAAAAAAATCTATTGTATACTATATCTAAATAGGTTCTTTCATTGGGGGTTTCTTTGGAGGAGGTGTTGGTGGTCTGATGTCTTCTTGAGAATTAAACAATGGTAATGACTAAACATGCAAAGAAAAAAAAATTGAATTATTCATATTTCTTATGCATCAAATGTATAATAAAATAAGACTACGAACTGCAACGCTGTTAACAATAACAGGACTAGAATAATCTGGAAGGCCTATACTGTCTTTATCTGAGAGATTTGAATAATCGGATTCCCTGGTTTTTGCAGGTAGAGGTGGAGGAGTGTCATCATCACTTGCTGTTGAATCTGTTGCGACTATAATGATAAAAAGATATAATATAGAGAATTAAATAATAAAATCCTCAAGTAGATATTAAAATAAAACTGAATCTACTCACCCAAAGAATCTCTATTAAGACTATTCATAGATGGTAACTTTGAAAACTGATATTGACCACTATTTGGTCGACTTAACCGTCTCTCTTTTTCCACTTCTGAACGTAGTGGTCTTTTGGGTGTCAACTATATTTTTATAGAAAAAAGTTGTTTATTTATTTTTACAATAGAATATTTTTATTCAATTACAATCATACCTCTTGCCGTAATTCAATAACGGGTGTTTGAGAAGAAAACACACTTAGATTATTGTTCATAGAATTTAAGGAAATGGTATCTGCATCAGACATAGTGTACCATTGGCTATTGCTAGAATTGTTAGAAATACTTGAATCCCTGTCATTTGTTGTTGATTGGATTTTCGATACAGTTCTATTACGTCTTTTTTTTTCTTTTTTGTCTTTCCTAGTAAGTGCTCCAATAGTACCAAATTTATTTGATCCTGATACTAGTACAGGCCCAGTGAAAATGGCTAGACTAGAAGACAAAGAAGTCGTAGCCATGAGAGTTGACTTAGTTATACCATTTTGTCCTCTAAAAATTAAACTGACAATTATTAATGGATTTCATTCTAAACTGATATAAATTACTTACTCAGAGGACCCAATACTTGAACCTGAATATCTTTTTTCATTAAAACGACTTCCTACAGTTGTATGTCTTCTCATTTTTATTATATCAAATTTAATATCACACGTCTAAAATGTATAATAAACATAAACTCAATGTCATATACTTATTATGTTTTATATTTTTAATTACCTTTTTGCCATAATTTTCTTCAATGTGAAGTTTCATTTTTTCAAAACAGTCTTCAAATCTTAATTGTAAAGGAGTTAAGGAAGGTGGAGCTCGTGCACTGTGTACTTTCACACCAATATCCAATAATGGTATTTGAGAAGCCACTAAATCTTTAAGTATCTCAATAAGTTGTTCATCTTCTTGGTGGTTCACTGAATACTCAGAAGTGAAAAATGCTTTTTCATATTTGGTCACTCCACCCATCACAGCCGCATCTAATATGCCATTTAATTTCATAGTCAAAGGATTCAGTGGCAGTGTAGAATCATTTTGATGGGCTATTATCAATTCTCTAAGATACCTTTAATAAAATATAATTAGTGATATACTAGACTCAGCAATACTTTAGTATAAATTACTTATTTGTTTCTTCCATAGTCTCAATAGCATTTTTAAGAGGACTTATTTCATATGTATCAGAATGCTTAACTGGAAACCATCGTAAGATACCTGGTAAAGAATATGTTGTATCCAATACTGTACGTTCAATCCATAAGTTAGCAAATTCATTATCATCATTTGAATTTACTTTTGGATCCGTCCGATAAAATGGTCTTGAAAACTTAAATCTCTTTACATCATTTACTCTAAAAGTAATACAAAATATTAATTTTTAAATAATTCATATTTATGAAATATTAATATATATTTATATACATATTTAATTATTAAAATTAATTAAGATTTATTTATTCATTCATGTATTATTTCTACAGTTTACCTATAATGTCTAAGTATTTGTTTGCTAATAGGTTTTCTTAATAAATGTTCTTTGCGATCATCCATTACTGGTTCTACATTATTAATTTGGATAACTGCATTATAATAAATAAGTTAAGGGAATTTACAGAAGTATATAAATACAAATGTTCAATTTTAATAATATATATTATTCTTTTTCATTTTTCAAACCTATTATTTATATATAATATCATGTAATAAATAATTTTAAACATAATAATCAGGGCTCATAACTTATAGCAATTTTTTTAGAGGTTTTAGAAATATCTATGTGAGCTATACATTTGTTTTAGATAACTAAGTTAAATATAAAATTTTATGTTGCATATTTTTGCATATTTCAAAGTATAAGTGCTATTTTGCTTTTTTTCTATTTTCCTTTTTAAGTCTTTTTCAGTTCAGTAGCGTTTAAAACATTTTTTCTTAATAATAACAAGTAACTGTAAAATTATTAATTTTTATATTTGTAATTAATTCATGTTAACTAATTAATTCTTCTTCTTTTGGTTTAAATTGTATATTTATTTATATCATATAGAGACGTGATCAGAATTTTAATAATAAAAGTTTAAAATTTTTTTTTTATACATGATACATTTTTTTTTTTTTTAATAATAAGTGAAAATATTTTTTTTTAATAATAAATGAAAATTGTTTATTTTTCATGTTATATTTATTTTTGCATATTTTTGTATTTTTAGTGCATATTTAAGCACTTATATAAATATTTTTAAGACCATATTATAGAGCTTATAACTACTTTTTTTAAAGCTTTAAATTATGAGCCCTAATAATAATATTAATATAAGCAGTCATCACAAAATGTTCATTTTTTAAAAGGATACATTGATTAGAAGATTCAGTAATTTCTGTCCCAGGTTTTGATAATTTTTGCATTAAAGTTGCGTTTGGAAATTGATTTAGAGTTCGGTTTGAGAAATCACTTAAGCGCTCATATTCTTTGCCTCTATATATAAAGACTTTGTTTTGTAAAAATGATGGAAACCCCTTGCCATAATATGCAACCCTGAAATACTCAGGTTCAGGTCTGAGCTGTTTTATTATATTATCATAAAAGTTTGACATCCGTTGTAGTAATGAACTAAGTTGGATGTAATCATAAGTCTCACTTTCACATTGTCTCACAAGCTCTTTGCACATGCTTACAGCACATTCCCACATCTGAAAATTTTAAATACATTTAAGTTTCTTAAAAATTATTAAAAATGTACACTTTCATACTTTTCCTTTATCAAAATAATCGATAATGTCGTGGTATAAAGCCTCTTTTAATTGTCTATGAGTATCACATATAGGATACCTCAATGGAGAGCGTAATAATGGTGGTAATGGATCATTTGACCATGAAAGTAATTCACTATGTAATCTAAGAGTGTATGCAGCTTCAGCGAAATCATCACATTCTAAATGCAGGGAACAAAGTTTATTTACATATCTGATGTACATTTCTTGTCGCTTAATGTCCATATAAAAATTCTATATGAAACAAAATATGTTAATTAGCATTCTATAAACATTAATCAAATTTATAAGTATCTTACCAATAAGTTTACAGTACAGTTCATCCTATTTTCTTTGTTTTCATCATTTATAACTGTCCGGTATTCAAGTAAACGCTCCAGAAGACCAGAGACTATTTTAACAAAACGAATACCCTAAAATGCAATCAAATTTTTACTTTAGAACTTAGAATTTACTAATTATATTGTAAACTATAAAATTTATTCTAAAAAAATTAAACAATAATTTTTAAAACTTACATAAAATTGAAAATCTATTAAGCATTTTAGGGAAATAGCTATAACATGATATTTGAACTATTTTTAATAGTATTATAAGCTTATATTGTGAATATAATTATCAATTTAGAACTGATTATTTATCATTATTGTTACTAAATGAAAAATAATTTTAAATTTTAATGGTATACTTCAAAAATAAATATTACTTGTTCTCTCATTGTAGAATGATTTTCACATTGCATTAACATAATAGATTTGAAAAGTTCTTTGAACTGTTCGTCTCCTTTACCACCTTCCACTAAATGATCAAGCTTAGCAATCATTTCATTTTCAAACTGTTGAATATCATATAAATTTATTAATTCATTTAGAATTTTTTATTTATAAGTATCTTAACTAAGGGTGAACCTTAAATTGTATACAACAGACTTACATCACTGAATTTGGCTTTAATGTTACTAGAATCTCGTTTATTTGAGTGACCATCAGAACATGAATAAAACTCGCATTGCATCATATCAAAAAATATGGGTATAGTGGCTTTACGTAATTCAATTTCTGGTGTTAAAGTCATTTCTAGAAAAGATCCCACCAGACTAGGTACGAAATGTACTTTGTATTGTCCTAAAAAATAATGTAAATTCAATTAAAAATTTTAATTTAGAATTATATTTGTTATTACATAATTTTAATTTATAAACAACACTTACCTAAATTAAACCACATGCTACGAATCTCAAATCCAGTTTCCCTACGCATATCTTTATACCGACTGATGATCCGCCAACGTTTATTGGATGAAAATTGTTCTAGCTGAAGTGATGGTTGAGTCAAGAAAGTGACGGCACAATGGAAGAAATTGTTCCATGCTTGTTGTTCAAAATCAATGAAAAAGTAGTCACGAATAGTGTGGGAAAAATACCTCAATGACTTAAGTATCACACTTTAAACAATAATAAATATACAGTTTAGATACATGTAGGAAAAAACAGTGGGTTATTTGATAATATGATGATGATTTCATACCTGTTTTGAAGCATAATCATCTCACACCAGTCTCTAGGAAATACTGGACGAGATATGAGATCCTTGAAAACTAGTAGAATTTCCATAAGGAAATCTAATAAATCAATTTTGGTCGGAAAGTGTTTGATATAAATGTCAAAGTGTTCGGCGGTCATTTGACGTAACATTGATATCATAATGGATACAAGATAGCCCTTTAGAGTAACACAAAATAATTTTAATACTAATATTAAAAATTATATTATATTATACTGAGTATAACTGAAATTATGATCTTTTACCAAAAGATGTCCTTCTCGGTCCATAGCTATAGTAGTTTGAATCACTGTACGCATGATAGTAAGCATAATTTCAGTTATATCACGGAATGTTGATCCTGAGTCAGCTACATATAACAGATCCATAATATCGCCTAACAATTTTACACACATTTCAACCTAAAATGGATAGTTTCAAAAATTTAAAAATTATAAATTAATGATTTCAAAAAAATAGAAAGCAGCTTATAACAAACAAAATGTTTAGTCCATAATAACTGAATAAAAAAACACAAAATTAAAAAAATGCAAATAACTATTTGATTTGTTAAAAATAAAAATATGATAAAGCATCTCTTCAAAGAAAAGAGGCAAGAATTTTGTCGATTTGTTGATATTTTTTAATTGATACCTATTGTTTTATTGTAGTACAAATTCTATTAAAATATTTAAACATACTTATGAATTTATTATCAATTGTATTCTATATTTTTTTATGAATTCTTAAATGTTTATGCATAATTTGTTAAAATTTCATCTCGTTTGAGAAATATTATTTACTGCTTAAGTTAAACTAAGTAATTATGTGAATAAAACTATCATTATTTTAGAAGTAGATTTTATTAATTTTAATTTTTAGTTGAATTTTATTAATTTTATCATATTTACGAATTAAAACTGTAAATTAAAAAATTAAAATAATTTTTTTTAACAAATCAGAAATGTATAGTAATACCAAAACTATAACATCAGTAAACATCATACATCATGATATCTCACCTTGTATCTTTTTTGTAACTACACCCATTAACACAGAAAACAAATAAGGGCTAAAGCCCCTGATGCACACCAACTCCTACGTTAAAATCTTCGGTGCTAATTCGATATGTACTCTACAATTTACATATATCGTTTTGGCTGAGTTTTATTTTATACTTTTTTATATTATTTTATTGATGATTCTTTACAGACAATTGTTTGAGTCAGTTATTTTATATTTTATATTGTTATTTAATGATTCGGTTTGCACTTTACCGAAATGTGTTTGAGGCGGTATATGTGATTTTGACTGAGTTATATCAAAAACGATCTCTATTCACGACCTGAATGTATTCTAATATTGCGAGAAAAAGATTCGGACTGCCTTGACGGTAAAGTTGCCAGCAATAGTGATCAAGATGAAAATGCAAATGATTAAGAGGAACACCCCTTATTTTCTTCAATAATTTAATTTTCGCGTCCAACCATGATCTATCAATGTTTTGAGTTTGAGCTTTTGTATTTGCAGATAATTAGAGATTATCAACACCATTAACAGTTGAATGAAATACCCAACGTATTATATAAAACCGAGGCAGATAATTGCAGTCCAATATCCGCGCGCGTACCGAATGTAGACCAAGTGTAGAACGCCAAAACCGGTAGAGCGCATACCAAATTGGCACCAAATCTTCTGCTACTCCACACAAACTCTTGACACTAGCCCTCGAGACTTCATACATATCCTAAATCAAATTTATAAATATTTTTAAGACCTCTTTTCTCATTAATGCCCATTTAAAATGTCTCTTGGCACTTTATCAAACACATTTTCTAAATCTATAAATACCATGCATAATTATTTCTTCTTTTTCTAAATTCATTATTAGTTGTCAAACATAAAATAATGGATCCGTTTTTGATTTTCCTGACATAAAACCAAACTGATTTTCTAATATTGGTAACTCACTTTTTATTCTCTTTTCTGTAAGGTTTTCCCAAATCTTCATACTATTACTCATCAGCTTTATTTCTTTAAAGTTCCTATATTCCTGTATGTCTCCTTTGCCTTTAAACATTGGTATAATAAAACTTTCTCCTATCTTCTGGCATTTTTCCCTCCATTAATACCTTATTAAAAAGATCTTTCAACCATCCAATGCTTACATCCCCTAAAATTCTCCACACTTCTACAGGCACTTCATCTAGTCTTACCGTTTTTTTATTTTTCATCGCCTTCACCCCAACCTTTACTTCCCATCACTAACTAAATCAATTAATTCTCAATTCCATGAAATACCCTCTAAAGCTTCTTTTAGATACTCTTCATTCATGAATTTCTCAAAATATTCTTCTCATTTATTTTTCACATCTTCATAATTTGTTAACACCTTCTTATATCCTCATTTTTTATACACCAAACATTTTTTAAGTCCCTAAATTACTTTTCTCTAACCTTAGATAGTATAATTTCATTATTTCATTCCCATATTTCTAGTCTTTCATAAAACTCATCATATCTATTAAATTCCATTTTGCTTACCAAACTTTTCACCATTTTACATACATTTTATACTATATCCAATCTTTTCTCTTCCTGCTTTTCTGCCATAACTTAAATTACTTTTTCTTACTTACTTCTACTCTCTAAATCTCCTCATTCCACCATCACATTTCCTTGTTTACAGGTGTACTATTCTTGGTTTCACTAACAACCTCTTTTGCTATATATCTAATACACAATGAAAGTATTAAAATAAATTATTTTATAAGTGTTGTTAAAATACAATTTTAACTTAATTTTCTAATAAATATATTAACATATTGTAGCCTAATAATCTTAATATAATTAGATTAATTTTGTAATTTAAAAATATTCTTTTATTTCTTTATCTAAAAATAAATTTTATTCTACGTCTATACTTTATGATAGTTTACTATTATTAAATTTCAAAGTAAACAATCATTTGTTGAAAATAAAAATATATAATTAAAATTATTAATTAACATACTTGATCACTCATGTCAGGAGAGTCGAGTAACTTGCGGCCATTTTCTCCCAGCACTTTAGCAATTTTTGCAACCGATTTTGTTTTGTTTCGAAACTCGATGCTAGTTTTTGCCTGGATAAACACCACTAAACATCACCTAACGAAGATTTTTTTCTTTTTTTTTTTTTATACTTCATATAGGTAAAGACTTAAAATATTAAACTATTTGTTCTACAAATAGATGAAAATAAATTCATGTTTTAGTAATGATGAATATTGTTATTAAAAATGACATAAATAATAATGTTGAATTCAAATTAAAAATGATTTATGGATAGGATTTTAATTAAAAGTTGTTTATCTCAAAGAATATAATCACTAAAAATATTTATGTTATTACAATTAATTACAATTTATTAAAAACTAAATTTAAAAACTGAATATTTATGAAAAAAAATATATATATATATATATATTATACATATTAAACTGAATCCTGTTAACATATTTTTTAGTATTTAATTTATTTTAATATACTTTATTATATTAATCAATATCTTATTTTTATATAAAAAATAAGAATATCTATTAACATTTAAATAATTGAAAATAATTTATAATAATTTTAACTGAAATTAAGCTTAGATATTAATGAGTACCCTTAAGATTAAGTCCAAATAATTAATAATTTATAATTAATAATTAATAAAACTAATTTATAAAAAAATTTTTATAAAAGATGACAAATTACTCTATTTACTCTAATAAACTATTGTATTATTTATTGATACTTTTATTTTGAAAATATAATGCAAAAACAAGCTTGGGAAATATGACTAAAAATACTATACTATTATACATAGAACACTATAGAAACTGTCAATTACAAATTTGCTGTAGTCAATGGACAAATTTAAAATGGTACATATATTATAGTATGGGATTAATATAAAATGATATAAAATACTGCACAATTATTATAAATATGAACCGTCATTATATTATTCAATACAAATTTAATTAATTGTACTTTTAAAATTAAATTAAATAAGATAGATATTTTTTATTATAAATACACGATTAGGTAGATAGAGATCTATAATAAATAAATTTTGAATAAGATAAAAAGTAGCAATATTAATAGCAAACAGAAAAAGTATAAAAATAATATGTAAATAAATTAAAGAAAACCTTATTTCTAAGATATATAATATATATCTTAAATATAATATAATATAATATATATTATGTATTATATAATATGAAAATGTTCAAATTATTTTATGAGTAATTTTTTATTACATTAATATTTTTATGTCAAACTGTGTAAAATGAAAAAATTATAAAAAGAACAAATTTCTAAGCAATACTTTTTTAAATAATTATTCTTTAACAAAATATTTTAAATTAACAATTTAAATGAAATTAATTTTATTAAGTATAATCTATAAAGGGGATGCATGTTTTTAATTATTTTTAAATAAAATAAACAATTAATACCAAAATTACCTATACAAATAAATAGTAAAAAAAAAATCGTTCAGTTAATTAGTTTGTTAATGAAAACCAATCCAAAGTTATTACTCTTGTAGCAATGTTAGTATAAATCAATATTCATTTTTTTTTTTTTTAATCCCATATTTAACATGCATTATACTTTTAAAATTTCTTTGTTTCTTAAAAAAAAAAAATGTTAAAAACTGGCATTCAGATATTTATTAATATAAATAATAAATTAATGTCATTCAAAATCTGAGATTTTATACTTTTTATAAAGCAATACCTTTTATAAAATGTAAATACTTAAAAAAAAAAATACCACTTAAATTTTAAATGTTTAAAATCAAAATATAAAAGTAAGTAAATGCTTTAATATGTATGTACAAGTATAACTCAATTAATTATATAAATCATATTTCAAAATACATGATTTAATATAAATAATAATATAATGACATATTGCACAAGATAAAATAATTAAAAATTGGTTTTTCGATAATATATATATTTGTACATTGTATAAGAGTTATATTCCAGCAACAAATTACATTACCTAATTAATTATAAATTTAAGAAGAATGAAACATATTTAAAGAGTACAAAAAAATTATTTATAGATGATAATACCCATTTATCCATAATATTAAAATAAATAATGGCTCAAAATATGAATTAAGTTAAAAACTATATAATTTTAAATTCAATCAGTCATTTTAATTAATATTTTAATATTTAAAAACATGAATTATATTCCAATAAAGCACACAAAACAAATAAAATTGCCAATGTGCTGTGAGTGGTAGGCCAACAAGTAACCACAAGGTAAACTCTCATAACACTGAAAATATGTTAAAATATTTATACAATTATATTAGGTTAATACACATGTTTAGTTGCGCACAATTCATTCCATTTTAAATCCATAAACATAAAACAATTGATTTTTGTTAGAATAAAAATATTTATAAAAATGTAGTATCTAGAAAATTTATAAAATTGTATACTTTTTGTGTATAATAAAATAACTAAAAAACTGTCTAGACACTATAATAATAAAAATGTATTGTAGGTTAAAATTTTCTGTGCCATATATTTTATTCAAAACACAAGCATGCAAGTTGCATTAAACAAGATGCAACAAAATATAAGCAAATATTTTCAAATAACTAAGTATATATGAAAAAATAAGTCAAAAAAAAAAAAATTAATTTTTTGTAAAATACTTGCATATATTTTTAAATATAAAATACAATAAATATTTTTATATAAAACACATACCTCTTCAGAAGATGCTAGAAGTTCTTTAATTCTAGCAAGTATTGATGGAAGTAATATAGACCGACAATCAGCACTTAAAAAAAGTTGACTATGAACTATATCACTCATGGTAACCAATTTTTGTTTCACCAGTCTTGATGGAGGCAAATTACCTATAAGTTCCACTAGTAACAAACTTAAACAAAGAAATATTTATAAAATACAAAACATTTCATAAATACAACTAGGACTTAATGAACTTATATACTTATAATTACACGTTTAAATGTTAGAATACATACAATTTTTTATTTTTAAGTTAAAAAAACAAAATTAAAATTATTTAAAATTATTTTTATTTCAGCATCTAAAAAGTTAGTAATTTTGGATTAGTACTAACTAAACTAAAAAGAAATTAATCCAACATGAATCACAAATCTCCACATCACTTTAATATACATAAGGTAGAATGGCCCCTCATCTCAATCGCTTCACAACATATTTATTTTTCTCCCTTCCCAACTGATAATTATTTTTCATTGATTTCTACCATTTTCAAAAATGCACTGTCATATCTATGAAAAACTACTCCAAAATTGTCCTTCTCCTGTGTAACAAAATCCTTCATGCACGGCAGCTTCAGTTACTCACTCATCAGCCTTCAGAAAATTCAAATCTTTCAAATCAATAATTGACTTCTTTTCTTATTAAAAAACATGCGCCTCAACTCAATGTATATTCAAAAATACCAAACCATTCTTGGCAATCTTTCTGTTTCACACTCAATGCCTCTTACCACCTAAAATATCTTTAGACTGCTGCTAAAAGTTCAAAAGATAGGTTTCACCCATTTCCTCCCTAAAAACTAAAAATCTAATTTTTCTCCAGTAAAAAGTTTGCACCTCCTTATAATCCCTACAAGATATCAATCCTCCTATTTCTCCTATTCAACCTCATATTAACCCTAGATATCATCTCCTTATTTCCCCCTTCATCAAAATAATAGAGTTAATAATGGCTTTATCTTCTAACTCTTCTTCATTTACATGTTTAGATCAGATTTTGATCAACATGCTTATGAGAAAAGGGCCTTAATACCCTACTGATAATTCTCAACTCCTTATGGATTAGTGCAGTGGTAGCCAAACTTTTTTTTACCTCGGATCATAAAAAAACAATTTTTTTTACCGCGGGTCATAAAAATGTATTTTTTAATTTTACAATTTTTTTTTTTTTTACGTAAATGTAAAATATTATAATTACACAAATAAGTGTTGTAATATAGAATATTTTCACGGACCAGATATTAAATGATGGTGGGCCGAAAGTAGCCCGTGGACCATAGTTTGGTCACCACTGACTTAGTGACATAGTCCTCAAAACCTGGCTCCACTATCACATCATTTCTATTCCAAAAGCCAACACCATTCCTACTGTATATCATTCTATAACCCTACCATCCACCTTATGTAGAGTATATTTCAAAAAATCACATCGATTAATACCTTGAAAAGAACAATTTCATAACAGACTATCATTTTGAATTTAGCAGAAATCTCAGCACCATGAATTGCCTTTCTTCACTGTAAGAAAAGTATAACAATCATTTTTCGACAAAACAATCCCTGCTTCCATTTTCATTGACATCAAAGAAGCATTGGATTTAGTTCATAGATCAACTCTTATTTCTCTTTATAAGTTTATTCATTGCGCATTTGTTCTGCAACTTTATCACATCTCTCTTTTCTCACCATTTCTTAACCTCCCCTTTCCCTCTGGCACAGCAGTATGCACAAAATCTTTCTGAAACTTCCTTAAGGTAGCTGCCTTCACCCCATATTATTTAATGTATATATCAGGGGTAGCAAATTACTTTAATGCTATATGATAAAAATTACCTTTTTTTTCCTTCGAGAATGCAAGTAAATATTATAAATAAATATATTATATATAATATGAAAATATTTATTATTAAAGTATTAATATAAAAATGTAATATTTAAATAAATATAAAATCATTATATATTATACAAATAATATTTTATATTCTCCTATTGTCTCGCAAATAAATTTATCCTCAAACAATTATGTTCCCAATTCACTCTTCAACGATTTTTTTCAAGAATCAAAAATTCCTGAAAATGTGTCTCTACATTTCTCACCGATTTAGCCTCAATCACTTCATCACTTTCTATCTTTCTAACTTTAGCTCACTAATCTAACCTTCGCTCTCAAATAAATGGTACACCCTTCCCTGCTCTAATTTCCAAATATTGTACCTAACTAAATATTGTAACTCCCAATTTCCTTGGTCATTCCGCCAAAACCTTAGTTTTGATCCCCAATATTCTAGTTAAATCTCTCTTTTTAGATTTAACTACCTCTAATTTCCCAAAATTTCTCCTTGTCTTCACGGATAGATAAGCCTCTCCATGTCTTTGGGTTTTTCATCCCTACTATCAATATATCCTTTTCTCCCAATCTTTACTCTTCAGCATTTTATTACAATTTTCATATTATAATATCTCTGATAGTAAAAGCAATAAAAAATTAATTGAAAATATAAAGATCATGACAAGAAAATCTTAAATCAGCTTTAAATATTTTATATAAATAAATATGTAGATACATTGAGTCCTAGAAAATTTATATTAATATGAAAAAATTATACCTTAATTGTGTATTACTAAATACAGTCATTATATCAGGAATAGAATGTGGTAAATATTTAAGGCATGCTCCTTGTAAAAATAATGTTGCATCAGAATTACTACACATTAAATTTGATACTAATTTCAACATTTCATACATTGATATTTCAAAAGTTTGTTGTCCTTTACCTTCATACAGTCTATAAACAAATATTAGACATTAAAAATCTTATCAACTAATTTTCATATATTGGTTAAACCTAAAAAATACTTACTGAGAAAATAGAAATCGAGATCTGGCAATAAATTTCATGATATACTTGAATGATTTCATTATATTTAAAAGAAGATCTTTGTTAGTATGGTCTAAATTGCTCAAATAGCACTTTAAAACTACTATTAATTTACTAAAACATAAGATATAATACATTAAATAATAAATACAATATATATTTTTTCAAATATATTTTAACTCACTTATAGGCAAGTGTAGCGGAAAAACTTTCTTTGATATATAAATCTAGAACTGGTTGGAAGTGCTGATATTTTCTATCAGAAACTAACCCAATAATATACAACTAAACCAATTCACATTCATTTTTATTATTATAAATAAAAAAAATGGTACTTAAAAATATGTACTAACCAAACATTCAAACACCATATTATCAAAGAGATCCGAATCTGAATTATGCATGAGAATGTTGAATAATGCATCTAAAACATCTTGTAAAAACTTAACAACTTCTTCACCATCAACTTTCATCAAAGCAGATAAACTTTCATGTAGCTTATCAGGATGACTTGTCCAATTTAACAAACCCAAGAGATCAACTGAAAATGTTAAAATAAAAGTATCCAATAAAAAACTTGATTTCAATTAAATTGAATCTTTATATTTTTTATTTAAATTTACAACAAAAATATTTTTTAATAATTAATAAATAGTATTAAAAAAAAAAAAAATCAAAGCAGATCTTAGTGTAATATAATAACAGATGCTAGAACATTTTAAAGTAAAATAACAATATTTTTTAACTATTGTTTTGAAAACCAGATAATTGGAAAATAACAATTTTTATAATAACCTCAAATAACAACTCTTTAGGTATTTTTCTTTTTTCTTTTTTTTTTTTTATTTAATTCCCACTTTAACCAAAAACTATTTTTCTCTGATCGGACATCAAAATCTCAAAACTACAATAAGAAATATTTCTAACTTTTAATTTATTTAACATACCATTTTGGGTTAATTTTGTTGAACATATATTTGATTGTATTATAAACACATCTTTATTAGCTAAAGATAGACCTGGTACTGATATACGATTGTTGATTTCAGTTAGCTCACTTTTTCTAGAAGCAAGACCTAAATAAGCTATGTCCATGGAATCAAATTTTTTATGATCAATCTATAATAAAACAAATTTTATTTTAAATATTTAATCTATGAAAAACAAAGATTACACTAAATAATTTACTTTATAAACTAAGAGTTCATGTAATGTGTCTCTCAAAGTAGTACCATTATCTTGCATTAATTTAACAAATGATAATGCAAATGGCTTTTCGTTTTTATCTTTGGTTTCATTGGATGATCTATGTTTGAATAAGAACTTTAAGTGACTACCTTTAAAGTCCTCTATAGGTATAGCTAATTTTACAACTTCATACCACCGAGGTTTATCTTCATGATAATATACAACAGAATTAAATTCAGAAAGAGGTTCTGAATTGCCACCCAGCATAATTACACCCTAAAATTTGTATAAAATACTAATTAATTAATTATTTATAAAATATACAACAAAAACTAAAACTTACTTGTAATTTAACCCCTTTTTCATTACATGCTGTAACTGTAACTTGAATATTTTTATCCGATGACATACTTCCTTTAGAAAATTCACCATTTACCAATGTTAAGTATAAATTATTTCTTACATCACCTGGTAATATTACTTCTGGAAATCCCATTTTTCTTACTAGAGCAACATTACATAGAACTAAATGAGGGTATTCCTCGCGGACCTATCAAATATAAATACATACATAGATTAGATAATTTTACAGAATATTTCATAGTTGTGAATGAAAAGTTTAATTTTAGGAAAAATGTAGTATATATTTTCAAAAGACCAAAACAAACTTTGGATAAAAATAATTATTTTCAAATTAAAATTTAGATAACTAATAGTTTTAAAACCAAGAAGGGTCATAATAAAATATATTACATATCAAATAAATTTTAAAAATTAAACACATTTGTAATTTTTCTTGAAATGAAAATAATATTAATTGTATTTTATAAAACTTACAGGGAAGCTTATTACATTTTATTATTATACATGATGCAATTAAAAAAAAAAAAAATTGGTTGTGACATGATTGAAATATGAAACATTAATTAAATTATAATTTGTTAAAAATTGTACATTCAAATAATAAGTTTATTATATAAGTTTATAGAGTTTAACTACATCATATCGCACCCCTATAATACAAATGGTATAACTCAAGAAATGTCGATTTTAAGTTGGTACCACTGCTGAAATTGCAAGATAAATATCTATTATTTGCGCTCATCTCTATTTTCCTATCTTATTTCAGGATTAATTTAAAGTAGAATATGGTAAAAATATAAAATATATTTGTTTTTCTCTTTAAGATTGTTTATTATTAAAGTTGATTTATTTTATTTATTTTTTTTTTTTTTTTTTTTTGTGGTGTTGAATATAAGGGAATTGCTTAAACTCCTATGAAAATAGAAAACAAAGATTAATGATAACTGATTAAAAAGTCAAAATATCCAAAAAATGATATATTGTCAGACAGTTGGTGAAAATTCTTAAAATTTTTAATTGCATTTTCTCAGTAATTACTGTTTCTATTCTAGAGGTGTGATAAGATAAATGTAAAGACTTTTTTATGTATTTTTTTTATCCAAAAACTCATTATATAATTTGATAACTTAAATTCCTTTTTTTATGCATCTATAAATATATTAACCACAATAATAATTTATGAAAAATTAATAATGATTTGAATACTTGTTTAATATCTCCATGAAGTAATTTAAAACTTATGGATAGTCCTTGACCTTTGTGCTCTTTAGGAGAATAGTCTTTGAGATTCAAGTATCTTTTCAAGGTATTTTCTAGATTATCTTTTTCACATCTAAATAAAATAATAAAATAAAATAAATACAATTTACAATTTTACATAAAATAAAATAATATTTTTACGATAAAAATGGCATAAAATGATGTTTATCTTCATCGCTTTCCAATTTTTGAGTAAAATATAAAGTTAAATCCATAGCAGCAACACCCCATGGTCTGCGAATTTGAGTTGTTGCTACATTCTTCTTATTATTACTATCGCTATCCATACCACCGATTCTTATTATATAACATACTAAATATACTTTTTCCCGAGCTAAATCTCTAGTTCCTAAATCCTAAAAATAAGAAATAATGAATAACTTAATAAGATAATTTTATTAAAAATATTACTGTGAAAAGGGCTCTGAAATTATGAAAAATGTCAGTCTGAGACCATCCTTGGTCCATTTTACTAGTTGCCCATCGCACAACAAAATTTTCAGAAAATGATTTACCACTTTTTACATCATACAACGTAAATAGTAGTTCAGCATCATCCATTATTTTACAAATAAAATTGTGTACAGATAAATATACAGTATAGTTATACAAATAATTGATTTGTTTAGTTGCATTTTTATACATTCCAGCAGCCTAAAAATAAATATATATATATATCAATAATAAAAATAAATCACATAATTAATACAAATATTACATGAGAATTTTGAATGCGCTCAGTGGCAATTTCATGGTGTTTGTATAGCTGAATAGTAGGTGTATGTAATGGATTTAAAATATTACCCTGTTCATCCCTTACCACCATGTCCAGTAACAATAATCTAAATAAATATACAAACTATATGAGTAATAATTGTAATACTAATACTAATTTTAATTACTAATAACACAAAATAAATGTTATATTAAGTCATTGTAGCATAAATGACATCATAAGCGAGTCATTTATCTCATAAATATCATTATATAATTTTGCTTTAAAATAACTTTCAAAAACATATAACTAGGATTTTTTAATTTTAAACATACTTGTTTCCAACATCTATAGTAGATGTTGCCAGTCTTTGTATTTCTTTTAACTCATCTACCGGAAGTGTGCCAGATAAAATTTTGCTTCTAAAATTCATTAACTCATAAATTTTATTTTCTACATTTTTAAAATTTGAGTTGTGAGACTGAAAAAAAAATACATATAAATTACATTTGTTTGTATGTATATTATAAGCTATTACTATGTATAGTTGTTTCCATATGGCACCCCATTCTCTGATAACACTTGTTAGTTCATGCACAATCTGCGGTTGTTTTAATACTGTCAACTCGGCTGGTCTAAAAAAAAATAGTGATCAATTGGTTTCCATTTAAATATTAAAATTTCACCAACCCAAATTTTTCAATAACATTATCCATAATGTGTACAAATTTTTTTGGAAATATCCCGTGAGTTGATTTGTTTTTAAATGAAAATCCATAGTACCATTCAGCACATTCTTCAAGAACGTGTACACATTCACCGGCCAACAGCTTGATTCGATATGGTCCAATTTGTAGATAGTTATGAATGGCTGCAAACCAAAACAATAGTAACTCAATTCAGTTTATAATTTATTTAATTATATTAATAAACAAAATGGAACTTGCAACTAATATTGTATACTATATAATATATAAGAGTAAGCCTTGTTCCCCTTTTTACAGCCATGGTGTTGTTTTAGAACACTCAATTAGAACTACTAGATTTCATTGAAATTTACTAACAAGCTCATCCTGTACCTAGTAATGATGGGAGTAGTTGAATTTTTTTTTTTTTTGTTATTCAACACTCCAAACAAAATTAGATACAGTTTTATAAAAGAAAAGAACATAATTATCAATACATTTCATGAACGTTTATAATATTAACAAAATTATTTAACAATACTACTTACAAAAATCAATAATAAACACAATAGATAATTACCAAAAAAAAATTATGTTTAAATCTTAAAGAAACTTAAATTATATTTTATAAAATGTATTTAGATAATTTATATAGAATTAAAAGAGAAAAAAATATATTAACATTATAAATTCCTATAATGTTCAATGACTTCTTATAGATATGATATATGATTATTATAAAAACTATTTACTAAACAAATATTATAATTATTTTATTTGACATTGACAAATACAGTTTTGATTAACTAGTTTGTTTATTACCTACCTACAAATTAGAAATTAATATCTTAACATTACAACTCAATTTTTACTCATTATTTTTAATCTTTATATCATGACAATTTAAATAAAATAAATTAATTTTATGCCAAGTAAATAAAGTATATTAATTAAATATAAACTATAATTTTAAATATAGTTAAAAATATATAAAAATAAATATTCTAGATCTTCAATATTATAAACATTTATCCATTTAGTTGCAATAAATAATTAGATTACTACATAAAAATAAAATAATAAAAATGAACTAAGCCTTAATTTATATTAATAAAAGATAATTTAATCAATTAATACATTGAAGATTTATGATGAAAAATCAACTTAAGTTATAATACTATGACATGTATAACCACCATAAATTCTGCAGTATCTTGCATACAAATGAAAGATATAGTAGAGAAAATTATTCATAACTAGTTACTCATTTCGGAATAAAAATAATTTCAACATAGGTTTGAGTAAATTACAAATTAACAATAACAATCATTTCATAATTCAGCCAGGGGTGACAGGGATGTTCAGTAAAATGTAAGACTGAAAATAAAACAACTTACCGATTCCATATCTCTTTTTATCGCTAACATGAGTCCAATTATCGTTAGTCATGTCATTAAACTATCATTTGTTAAGGTATTTGGCTAGTAGAGTGTACGTTTGTGTACATATGAAAATAATTACAAGCTAACACTTAAAATTATATACGTGAAAAAAAAACGGGCAACAAAAGAACAGAAAAAAATCACAACTAAATCGGCATTACGAGGCCGACGAACGAAAATTTCTCCCGGCGACGACGCACATAAATAATTTGAAAAACTAATTCGAATCGAATAAAAAAATATTAATACTGAAAACGCCGCGTAAAATCCGACGGCGGAACCAAATATTATTTTCACTACTACCTATTAATTTATTATGCGCGTGAAATTGTTTACGTTATCAGCAGCATGACGACGACGCGACAACCACTCTCTAGGCTCATAAGTTACCAAAATGCACGGATATAACACGGATAAACGTGATAACAATAATAAAAGTGTAAAACTTCCACACCCAATCCCCACTCCAGTGGCACCGAACCTGTGCATTAACTAAAACGATTACCTCATGTTCACCAATATTATTACGTAAAAAATAATTATATATTATTTGGTTTATTTGTCCTTGTTGCAAGTAATTTTTAAACGAGGATAAAGGCGACAACTGTATAAAGGCACCGTAATTCCGAGGGCATATTTCAGGGGGAGCGAAGGGGCAATCTCTCCCCTGGATTTAACAAATTTGATTGGTGTGAAGTATTTCGAAAATTATTGGTATAGTAATAGTTATTGTGTTTTTCCTTATTTCCCCCCTCCTTACAGTCATTTAACCCTAGCAATTATTATTATTTTTCTAAAAAATATTGTATATTTTTCTAAAAAATATTGTATATTTTTCTAAAAAATATTGTATATTTTTCTAAAAAATATTGTTTAAATATAGACGATTTTCCTTTCGCCTCCCTCCCAAATAAGGTCCAGGAACGGCTCTGCCGTAATCTATATATATACAGCAAATACCACTCACTGATCATCGCTACATCCCAAAAACGAAACATCGTATGAACTTGAAGCTTGACATAGTGGTTCCATTTACACTTTAGATGTAGGTACAATAAGAAATTATTTTCCAAAATTCAGTCCTTAAGGAGATAATAAAAAATAGGTAAAAACAAAAGTAAGTAAATATGAATAAATCGCCTATCCAGAAACGCTAAAGCTATAAGTTAAATTTGGTGAGTTGTATTGTGATGTAGAGACCTCACTAAAAAGGATTTTTACGCTATATCTCAAAAATTACAAAATGTATGAACTTGATATTTGACATAATGATCTCTCCTATACTCTAGACGTGCAATAAGAAGGGATTTTAAGAAATATTAGCTCCGACAAGTATTATTCAATGATGCAACCAATGGTATTCAGCGTACAATTAAAAATAAGCGATTGAAATATCGAGTTTACTTTTTTATTATTGTACGTAATTTAACAGGTAAAACATTTATAAATTGTAATTACTTATAATTTTTTTGCTATTAAATTTAATTAAAAAAGGAAATACATAAATACATTTATCAATATACATATGTATTATTTTCTATTTTATTGCATATAAAAAAAATTTCTATTTTTGTTTGCTTAAATTTCTAACAATGCGTTTTAGCAAGAAATTGTTTGATTCTGTTGACAAAACCGAACATTTCTTCGGCATTTTTTACAGAGGATAATACTTTTCGAATTTCTGATAGGTGTTGCAAATAAGCAGTAATTATAAGAGCGATACTGAATTACCTGGATTTTCTTCTTGATCGTCTTAACCCTCGTAATACAATGAAATATATATATACTCGTTAAGATACTGTAGGTGGTACGATAAAATAAAATGATAAATACAATAAGTATACGTAAACAAGTAAAATTTCTATTTTTATTTTCACACAATTACTGCATTTTATCGTAATCTGCTGAACAAAAAAGCGTCTTATCCAACTAGAGAAAAATCGAGCGTCTCAATAGGTACTTTTTATAGCGTAAAAAGTGTCCTAGGTGTATCTTAGTCAGTGGCAATTTTACGGGGGGGGGGGGAGGTAATAGATAAATCGCCTCCCCCTCTTGAACCGTGTAAAAATTAAAAATATGAATGAACAAATCGTTTACTAAAAATCGTTTTGGCGATAATTTTATGTCAAAACTGTTTACTGTTTACAAAAATGTTTGAATATTTTTATGTTATGCCATTGTGGTATAAAGTTTATAGAAATTAAAATTACTTCCCATGTATCAAACAATAGGAAAAAATTAATGGGATATGTATGCAAATTGTAAGTATATGCATAATATTTTCGCCCTCCCCCTTGTGACTTCTCAAAAACCGCCACTGATCCTAGTATAAGAAATGTCTAGGGACCGACGGAAAACAGCCAGTGTCGGTCTGGTTCATGATTGAGCCTCCGGCAAAAAAATTTACAATGGACCAGGGACCAGAACCGTAACCGAAAAGAATCGGTACTGGAACCGGTTAACCTTTAAAATTAGGAACCGTAACTGAAACCGGCACCTTTATTTCCAAAAATGAAAAACCGTAACCGTAACCTTAATTATAAAAGGGTTAATTTAGGTCAGTTATTTAAATTAGTGGTTCTCGATCTTTTTTGTATGACGACATCCTAATTTAGATTTATAAAAATGGCGACACACTTGAAATAATTAATGAAATCTTATTTAAAAAATTAAAACTTAAAAAATAAAGTACTAATTTACTTAATTAAAATTTAAAAAGTTCAAAGAAAGTATTATGAAAAACAGTATTAGTTCATAAATATCCAGGCCTACAAAGGTCTTCGATTCATGGACAAATGGTTGACAAACTTTCGCGTAATTTACTCTTAATATCTTTTTGCTTTTTGTTATTTCCAATATCAAATATGCTAATTCAAACATGTATGATGTTGAAAATAAAACAAAATTATCAATTCTTATTATTCATGTATATTCGATTTGAAGTAAATCCGAAATTAATCATTTTGTGACATACAAAATTTAGATTTTAATGTTATATTTTTGATATTTTTAATAAATAAGAATTAATAAGAATATCATTATAATTTTTTTTTTATATGCGGCTTTTATCATTTCATCATAATTCTGTAATAATATACGTTCATACTTTGAAAGCTTATAGTTTTAATTAATAATATTTTGGTGACACACCATGGGTGTCCATTGGGGGGGGGGGGGGCAAGAGGGGGACATGTCCCCCCCTTGGCTTTTTGGTACTTTAAATATTAAGACCATGTAGTGGAAATGCTGTCTCCTAATTTTATATTTATACGTGTAAATTCAAGATATAAATTTAGTTGACAATGTTATTAATGAATTTTCCAAAAATAAACTCAATTTGGAATTATTGTTTTAGTTACTAAAATTAATTATTTCTAAATAATAAAGCACAATGTTTATATTACATTTTTAAAGTTGTATTAATTATCATTTTATATATTTTCATTTTTTATAAAATTTCATTTTATATATCTATTTTATGAATAATAATTTTATAGGTTTAACAACAATGCATGTACTTAATAAAATAATATTAATATATATAACTTTACCTATGACAATTTAATATAAAGGTAAATTTTATTATAAAACACTATGTCCTCCTTAGATTTCTGAAGATGGACGCCCTTGTGACACACTCCACAGTAATACATAACACACTAGTGTGTCGCAACACACTGGTTAAGAAACACGGATTTAGACTAGTAAAATTATGGTAATGACTATTTTGTTTGTCCATTTGTCGGTTCATAAAAATAAAAGTTAAATCTTTTTATGTTTATATTATTTTGTGTTGTAAACTATAATAGTGTAATGTATATAACAATTAAATTTATAATATTATTATTATTATTTTCGTTTGTTTATTAATATATTACAATTTACAATGAGTATATCATCTGTCTTGTCTATTAAGTATTAAATATAATTAATGTTTAATCACAATTTGTAGCTAGAACAGTAGCAAGTATTAACTTTGATTCCTAATTAAAATTAAATTTTAAATTAAAGATATTTATTTCATCAAATCATAATACCTATTTCTCAATGCCTATTACAAAATATTTTAAAAATTCCCACTATGAGTTGAAATAAAATAATCCAACTCAAAGAAATATAATAGACTGATATAATATATATATTTAATATAATTATAATTATTGATTTAACTATTCATAATACCTTCTATTTTCATGAAATGAAACAATTACAATTTAAACAAGAATAAATAAATAATTTCATATTATTTTTTAATAAATCTTTAATAATCAGAATTAACCGAAATTAAACGGTTCTAGAACCCTTAAAAAAATAGTTGAACAACCAAAACCGAAACCGGAACCGAAAAAACCTATAGGTTCCAGTCTTTACAATGGGCCCCTAAACAACATAATATTGGAGTGGAATTCAATAAATACCTACTAAAAATGTTTTTTCTCGCTAAACTTGAACTCTATTACAAATATTAATTTATTTTTGTTTTTATATTTTTAAAAAGCCAATATTATTGAATCATCATTGTGTTCGTGTATGTGACCGTTAACAACACTTATTTCAATTTTTCAAAGTACTTATATTTGTTCGATTTTTGAACAAGAGAACAAAAATGTATAAACTTTAGCGGTTATACCTAGAACTATTAAATCATATTAACAATATTTCTAGATTAAGATAAGAATAACATAATTTTAATTTGATTCAGGAAGATAAATACTATGATTTTTCATGTGAACGAGGTTACTTTGATCCTAGAGCGGATTAAAGAGAGGTTCAGGAGGTCAGTTGACCCATAATTAATATTTATTAACAAAATTGGCCTCTTGAAGACTTCTTATATTTTTTAAGCGTGACTATAAGTTAAAGTTAAAACTAACTAAAAAATTACCCAGTTTTCTCCCCCCTCCCCCAAATGACGACACTGGTTTAATTGTATAGTAATACAAACATTTCTATGCCAGACCCCATGTAAGATTTCATCAAATAAGATAAATGTTTACAATGATAATTATGAATAAACTTAAAAAACAAATATTATATGACAATTATGTTTTTTTGTTACTTATAAGGAATACATTTATAATCCATTTTCAGCTCTAATAAGTGGTCTCTTGAAATAGCCTGACCCACTCTCTAATTGTGAATCCACCCTTGGTTCTGTTAAAAAATAAATCTCAAGGCCCACGGCGATTTCCGGGTATCCGGGTAGGCCAGACCAACACTGAAAATCGAGTCTTATACAGGAAAGTGTCTAAAGCTAGTTTTACTGTATTTTTATCCAAGTATTCAGTAGGCTCTATGGGGGTGGTAGTGCGGTCGCACCGGGTTCCGCATACTATTGAAGTAACACGTTTGGGCTAATAATAAAACTGCAACCCGTTTAGACCACGATTTTATGGACCAGTTTAGAGTCTAAAATAATTAACTAAACTTTAGACCAATTTTATATTGATAAAAAATAAGGTAATTTATAGTATTTTTATACAGCGTAATGTAAAACATAGGTTAGTACTATATAAATAAATTATTTTGAGTAACACATAGCTATTATAATTTAGAACGGACTAGAAACCCACAATTATTCAATACAATATATACATACTATTCTATGATAATAGTCAATATATATAAAATAGATATATGTGTATCAAGTTGATGCAGTATAAAAACACGACAAACTTAAAAAAAAAGTGGATACAATACAAAATTGTGAAATATCTAAATTGACGTAAAAAAAAAAAGATAATTGGTAGATGCTATAAGCTGCAAGTAATTAATAACCATAAATAATATGAAAAAATTATGTTTGTAATCTTACAAATAATGAATACTAAAAAGACTTACATCAGTAGCTGTAGTCTAAACCAGCGGTTCCCAAACTTTTACGACCACCGAACCCTTAAGAAATATTTTTTGTTTCGTGGAACCCTAACGTCTCTAACTCCAACTTAACACCAATTCTGTAATTATTTGTATTTGCATTTATTTTTATTATTAAAAAACCAATAATCCAAAAAAATGTTTTAAAGGTGGTTCATGATTGTTGTTTACTAGAGTTACTATTCCCAATATTCAGGTACATCTCGCGGAACCCTTAAGATTGCCCCACGGAAACCTTAGGTTGTGTGGAACACACTTTGGGAATCACTGGTCTAAACTACCTTAGGACCAAATCATATTAATGAGTTTTTTAAGATATGATAGACCAAATAACATTTTGTTGGCAGCAAACTAATAATATTTCCAGAGACGGCTCGAGGGTGGGGGCAATAGGGGCAGTTGCTCAGGGCCCCGCGCCTTAAATTATATTATGGCCCCGTGGTTCTGAAATAGTTTAAGTTAACTATGCTCAGATTTAACTGAACTTAAAATATTTTATTCATAAAATTATACATAAGACTCAAAAATTAATTTTTCCCAAGGCCTCGCAAACTCTAGCACCGTCACTGAATATTGCCAACAAGTACCTATCTGTGTTTACTATTTAGAACACCTACTTAAGAAATTTCTTTGATATTATGCCGCCTAATGTTAATGAGTAACTATCAACTTGTTACTGGTTGTTGGAATACTTGTTAGCAACATGTTGGCAAAAAAATGTTGTTTGGTCTGTACGTATCTTTAAGTAAATTGATAAATATTATTTGACTGTCATGCGTATAAGTCACCATAAATCAGAGAATATTATATGTGCTTAATATACAGAAGTTCTATAGATATTAGATTTATACATATATTATTCATCACTCAATTTTTTATAGACAAAAATCAACCTATGTAATTCGTGTATAAAACTATAGAATGTAAGCATTTAGTCTTGCTAATAGCGTTGATTTAAATCTATAGTTATATTTAATTAAATTTTTTGTGACGTTTGTCTTGTTTTATTTCTAGATATCAAGGGCATAACGATTATTTATGGAGAGGGAATTTGGAATATTTATATATATTACCAATAAGTAATAATTATTTTTATTATTGCCTGTTTATCCACTAGCTGGGATTTTGACAATGGGAGGGGGATTGAACCCTAAAACCCTCCTTACCAACACCACATATATGTGTGCGTGCGTTTATATACTATTCCTACTTTTTTTTTAAATTAATAACAACCTTCATTTGTCAGCCTTCAAACGTGTTGGTTAATGAATGAATATATAAATAACTAATATTAATAAACGGCGCATTAAGATGTAATCAAGATACATCATACTAACATTATAAAAATAAATACTAAAATACTAGGCTTGAATTATTTCTGTTCATAGAATACATTTTATTTGCAGTTCATTTAAAAATGTAGAAGGTACTTAGTGACTTAGCTGCTAAACCCTTAGCTTAATAATACATTTTAATAAATTATATTTGGAGAATTACAATTAAAAATCTTGCAGTTTTTAAATTGTTATATTTTATAAAATGTAATTTTAAATATATTTATTAATTATAATAAATAATGATCTTAATAAAGAAAATATAATGTTTCTTCAGTTTCTTGCCTTCTTAGTCTTTAGTATAGTCCTTACAATTTAAATAAATTGGTTACCTTACACATAACATTTACAGGTCTTAATGATTTGCGAACAAGAAAACTATTTGTGTATTTTGATATTTTACCTATTTACTTGGTTAAGAATGTATATAAGTACAGTTTTCCATGTAAAATATTGAGGTATTATTAGTTTATATACAATATTTAGATATTTAAATATAAATAACTATAATTAAGTTTTAAAAACAATTACTAGGAATGTCATAATGTCATATCATAATATGAAGCAACTATAGTGGACAAGATGAGAGAAAATAGCCTGAGATGATTTGAAGATATGAAGAGACGAAAGGAAAAAAATGTAGTACGAGTTGTTATGAAAATGAACGTTGAAAGAAAAAGAGTAAGAGGAAGACCAAAACAGAGATGGTTATGAATGATATGAGGGCTGTTGGTATGTGCATAAGGGATGAGGAGAATCAAGACGAGTGGTAGTTTAGAACATGGGTCGCCAACCCCAAATAGTTGGGAGAAAGGCGAAGAAGAATAATGTCATACATTTGATAGAAATATATATATATAATAGTCTTCATTTGCAACCTTAAAAATTCAAATCAAAGCAAAAAGTCTTATGTGCTAAATAAAAATAATTTTAACACAGGAAAAAACTCTAAATATTGTAATATAAGTTATCAGTGGCGATTTTAAAGTTAAATCATATTCAAATATGAAGAGCAACTTATTATACATTTTTGATTTAATTAATTAAAATATAAAAACTTTAATTAGTTCTCTACAATAAGATAGTATTTTTTTTCTGAATTGATTAATCATTCAAAATTGATAATTACAATATTAATAAAATTATAAGTATTCATGTATTGGCATAAAAATACACACAATACAAATAATATTTTTAATAACGATTTAATTGATGATAATGAATGTAACATCTGTAAACATTATTACATTTTGAACACAATTTCAGCAAGACTCCTAACAATAAGACATTCATACCAAAAAAATGATAATAATGCAATTTTCAAGTAAATCAAGTAGGGAGTTTACAAAAAAGCTATGGAATTGTGTTATTTAGTTTTAATAAAAATAATAGATTTAAATTATTTTATATTTTTGGAATAAATATCATTATTTATAAGTTTAAAATTAAAAATCACAGTTAATCTAAACTTTAAAAAAAAAACTTTGACTATAATATATTAAAAAAACATGTTTTTAATGTATCTGTATTTACTTATGTTCATCATAGTCTGATAGGTTAACAATTGAACTATATATTATTTTATTTTTATTTTTAATAATAAGAAGGGAAGATAAAAATAGACTTTATGAGTAATTAGTTAAAAATTTGATGAAAATGAATAGGATTTAATAAAACCATGGTATCCATGAAAACCATGATTTACTGTTATTTTCAATAGTTTGTGTTTTAATTATTTCTTCTTCAATGTTTTCTTCTCCTTTCTTATTTTCTTTCTAAAACAATAATTTAATAATCAAGAAAATTAAGTCAGTATTCATGTTATGATTACTATTTTAGTCATTCAAATGTACACTAAATTTATTTAAAATACATGTTATAATACAATTAACAATTTAATATGTATATTTAATTTATGAATTAACTTATTACATTTTTTCAGTATATGTTAGATTGTGTATTAGTTTGATTTGATTTATAGATATTTATAGGTATTGACAAAGGTGGGAAAGTTAGTAAAAATAATTAACTCAAGTTAAGTTAAGAGAACACAAGATCGATAAGTTAAAAGTTAATAAGAAAAAAGTTTAACTAAAAAAAAACTTAACTCAGTTTAAAAAAAGTTAATCTATTTTTTTTAATTAGTATATAGATTGCATATAAAGTGACTGTTTTATTTAAAAAGATCTAGTTTCCTAAATTATAATAACAATTTTATTGAAATTTTATCATATTTAACAACAGTGGCGCCGAAGTATTTGAAAAATACTATGTCATTGTACATCAAAGGGCCACTCACTACCGTATTTATTTATATTTATAGTTAAAATTCTTTATGCATAACATTCTGTATCCACGGCCAGAACCCAATACCCAAAGGTGTGCCTCCAACCTACAAAATCTAATATGACATCTGGTGTACTTTGTATGTGATCTTTTTACTTTACATGATTATTTAATTTTTATACTAATATTTACGTATAAACAAACAAATTTCAAAATTTTTTAACTAGATAATTAAATATTTTTATATCACATTTTTAAATCAAATCTGAAAAACTAAGTTATTTCAACTGCCAATTAAACTATTTAAGTTAAAAAGTTAAAAATAAATTAACTTTTTAACTAGTTAATGCCTACCTTTGAATATTGATAGATATGATTGATTATAGAACTCTAATAACATATGTAACTAACTATACATTTCAATTAATATTTATAAAAAAAAAACAATTCAATTATTACCTTTAATATTCTTTGATTTTCTCGGAATGCATTAATAGGATCATCATATTGCTTATATTCTTTTAAAATTTCTCTAACATCTTTTTTTTCATTTGAAAATACAGCTTAAAATATGGAATATTATTAATATTTTTTGTTAGTTTGATCAACATTATACATTCAAATTTAAATATATGTGTTTAAAAATTCAATAGAACATTCAAGATAATATAAATAACCAAACCTTTTAAAAAGTCTGCCAGATCAATAAGAGAATTATCATTATCATCACCATTCCATCTAGGTATTATTAAAGTATTATCAGGTTGACTTTGTGTCCAGCTTGAATTCCAATCTATTACAATGACTTTTGCTAAATCACGATTGATTCTTTCCATATTTTTTATTAATTGACCATTTCGAAATTCAGTACATTGGCGTGATAACCGATATTGAATCCAACCTTTAGGATCAATTTCATCCAATATTGGAGAAGCAATCTAAAATAAATATATTAAATATTATGTTAATTAAATATATTCTATTAAATATAATCATTATTAATAGATGGTTATTGATTAATAGTTTTAGAAAAACTAACATACGTAACCATTTTCTGCTGTATAGACAACTACTTCAAAAATCTTCCCAACTCTTTCCAGAAAATAATCAACATTTGGCCTCTTTTTGAATCTCCAACCTGTACTATACTGAAAATTAATATAATTAACAATAAATGTACATAATAATTCACGAGTTCTATTAACTTACACTCCACTCAGGATGTACAAGAAGATCTGTCATTTCAAACACAAGCGTATAATGAGGTTTATCATAATAATCTGGTAATGGATCTGGTAACAGCTTATTAGTTGCTGGAATTGTTAACATCTAAATGATACATATTTCAAAAATAAGTATTAATACATTTTTAAAAGTACAGTCAGTCTCAGTAACATTAAATTGTTAAATAAAATTAGTAATAATAGCTAACTTTGTGGTAAAATTCAATTCTAAAACATATCCATTCATATATTTTAAAAATAAAGGGAATATCTTTATTTTCATTTATAATTAATTCTTCATCTTCAATCACTAAAATTTAATATAAAAGTATCATTTAGTAAATATATTAAATACATAATAAAATAATAAATATTAAATTAAAATCAAAAATTATTAAATAGCTAATATTCGTAAATTAATAAATAAATGAAGAATCTAATAGTTTAAATATAGAAATAAATAAATAAATAAATAACAGCTTGGAGTATTATAATTGCAAAATATGACCTGTTTTAAATTAAAAATTCATCATCAGTTATATACAAAGTTAATAAAATTGTGACTAAATATGAAAAAATATTGTTGAATTGCGATTTTATTTTATATTTTTATATTCAGTTGCAATTTTATTAATTTTATAAAAATCTAATGATAAATTTTTAATTTGAAACCTGTCTTACTTTATAAATATAATAATACTCTAAGCTAAGTTTTCATCTATTTGTAAATTAAATATATAATATAACTTAATGAATTATTAATAATATTCAGCAAGATAAGTAGTAAATTACTCAATAATAAGTATTGAAGTATATTATTTTATTACAAAATATTCTAACAAAGTACATATAATTTTAATTTTTGCAATTTTAAATTAATACTATATTACAGGTACAAGTTAAAAAATATCAAACCAAGTAAGTATCCTCCAAATGTTAACAATGATACACCAAACGTAATTGAAGCTATTTGTAAAGATTTCTTGAAGAATTTTTTTAGACAACTTTCTTTTATACCATTGGAACTCTTGATGAGTAAATGTCTAGATGTTAAATATTGATACATGGGCATTTTATCTAAATAACAGATGAAACTGAAATTGCTTCACTTAAGATTAATAAGTAATAAACAACTTACAAGCAGATGATAGTATGGTTTGACAATATTTTGCATTTAAATTAAGTTTAATATACATTTTACAGAAACCTGTGTTAATTTATTAAGCAATATTTGGTTTAAAATGTTTAAAATAATTTATTATTATAATTGGAACATAAGTCTTATGTATATTGTATTAAATAACTTAATATATTTTAATAATGCATTATATTTAACTTGTTTGAAATTATTATATTAAATTCTATAATAGAAGTTTTGATCACATAGATATTTTAATCTTCAGTATTTCACATTATTTATTAGAAAACAGTGGCACAAATTAGTTATTAGTAACAAAAGAGCCTCAATTATAAAAACTATTAATATAAAAATAATAAATATATAGAATCATGATTATATTTATATAAGTAGTTATCTATGGTATATTATCACATATATGAAGACTATACAGACACGATTATAGTATCTATATTCATGATATAATTTCATATAATTTCTGATGTTATCATATAAAGGTTTTATCACAGCTTAACATTGAGTTGTGTTGTGTTGCTCACGATCACTTTTTAGCATGTGCTTTTTTTTGTTTATCTTACTTTTAAATTAATTATTATGAATTTTCAAAATTTGAAACTATCAAAATACCTATGTGATCAGCTTGATGCTGTCGGTAAGTTTCTGCTTAACATACTATATAAAAATTATAATATTTTTATTTTTGAATCTAGTGTTTATTTAATTTATCCTATCTATTTTTTTCACAAAATCAGGTGTGAGGTCACCGACTGAAATTCAAATAAATTGTATACCAAAAATATTAGATGGAATTGATTGTATTGGTTGTGCAAAAACAGGAAGCGGTAAAACATTGGCATTTGCTTTACCAATTCTTCAAAAATTGTGGGAAGAACCTTATGGAATATTTGCACTTGTACTGACACCTACTAGAGAATTGGCCTACCAAGTAAATTCATTTTCTCATTTTAGATCTGGACCACCTCTCTTTATTGATTATTTATTGATTTACTTATATAGATTGCTGATCAATTTGCTGTGATTGGAAAATCTAAAAATCTCAGACATTGTGTAGTTACAGGTGGAATGGAAATGATAGTTCAAGCAAGAGAGTTATCAAATAAACCTCACATTGTTGTTGCAACACCAGGAAGGTATTTATTTCTATATATTTAATACATTTTAATTTTAAATTCAATACTTTTATTTGTTTTATTATTTATATAGACTAGCAGATCATTTGGAAAGCTGTAATACATTTTCATTAAAACGTATACAATTTTTAGTATTAGATGAAGCAGATAGGTTGTTAGGAGGTCGATTTGATAAACAAATTACAACAATTTTTAATGCTCTTCCAAAAGAACGACAAACTCTATTATTTAGTGCAACTATGACTGATACTCTTGAGAAAGTTAAAAAAATTACAAAAAAAAATGTGAGTATATTCAATACTTTTTAATAATTATAATACTTTTAATATGTTTTGTACTTAAAGGTTATGAAAAAAATAATTTGTTTATGAAATTGTTTTTAACATTATACAATATATATTTATATATAACTATCAAAATTCATCATTTAGTAAATTGCAATCATTCCAGTAAATTTAAATATTATGAGATTTTTACTCAAAAATTACATTTATAAGCCAAATGTATAAGTTATCTTTTTTTTATCTATGGTTCTTAGGAAATAACTCCAGTAATAGCAATATTTTCAACTCTAGTATTTGTTGATATAAATTTAAGATTTTTTAGAATTTAAAGTTTAAATTTGTATTTACCTAATTTAGCTACACCACGATTATCTAAATAATATATATAATTATATATAGATTGATACCATTAATCTAGATTTATTTTTCTTTTATATTAGTATAGACTGTTGTAAATCTACCTACAGTAAACTTTATAACACTACCTATATAATTTTATTATTTGGTATTCTTATACATCAATGATTATTTTATATTATTGTATTCTACATCTTTGAAGATGGATACTGAAACAATAAAAACTACATTTGATAATGTAATTTCAACTATGATAAATATATAATAAAAAAAAAAAATGAATTTGGGAATGTATTTATTTAAATACTAAAATGTTTTAGATATAGAGTATGAAATGCTAAAAACTAATATACTAAGAAATAATTGATTCTATATACTGAACATTTATTAGATATAAAAATATAATTTACATTATTCATGAACTATTACATTATTGGTGGTAATTCATATATATGTGTGTATTTATATAATATATAAATATTACCAGTGGCATATTTTTAAATTTTTATGGGAGGATTTTAAATTTTTCTAAAAATATAAATGATTTTATAATATTATAAAAATACATATAATGTATGAATTAATAATTAAATTTTTTTGCTGTGGACTTTAAATAAATTGGTAACAAAATAATCTTTTCTTGATCACCTCACTCATTTATAATAGCAACCAATTTATAGTTAACAAAAAATGATTCTACATCTTGATCTAAATCGTCTGAAAATGGCTGTGGCTGATGTAACATTTTAAATAACATTTTTGATTCTATGTTATACTTGTTTTTACTAATTATTATTTTAGGATTTCTTTCAATCATTGATTTTTTTCCTATACTTAGAGTATCTACGTTATCCGTTTCGGTGTTTTCTACAAAAGTTATGTTTGCCAAATTATTTCCATTATTATTTAAATTAATTGGGAAACTATCATCTGTAAATATTAAATTTGTCTCGTTAAGGCTATCATCAAGGTCTTGATTGTTTCTAAAAAATTTTTATTGTTGTTTTTGCTAGATTTCTTAACTCTACAATTGTAGATGTAATTTCACTATGTGTGTTACAAAATTTTAGGAAACCCACTTATTCAGTTTTATTCAATAAATTTATCCACCCTACAGTTTTATTAGAAATTATAAATTTGAATTTCTTTTCCACTGGTAATTGGTTGAAATCTTCTTTTTCTAAACTTTCTATCACATATAGGGTACACAGTGCAAATTTTTGTATAAGTTTAGCAGAAAATGGTAACTTTCCAAACCTTGAATTTGAAAAATAATTTCCTAAATCGACCTCTTCGATTTGTCGTAACAGACTTATTAAATTTTGTTAATTTATTTTGGGACCAAAATTTGCATCTAAGTATGATAAATTAATTTAATTTACTTTTGTAATTTGATTATTTGAATTACGTTTAATATAAAATGTGTTTAGTACCATTTAGTACCATTATTTATTGAAATATTAATTATTTTTACTCGCAAGGACAAAAAAAAAATTATATTACCCTATTCTTAATAGGTATATTTTTTATTCTTTAATTGTTTAGTCTATAATTATCAATACAACAATGATATAAATGTAATAAATTAAATCTATCAATCTCAATGTTGTTTTTCTGGTAATAAAAAAATTATAAATTCACAATATTTCCCTAAACTATTATCTTCAATACTTAAATCTCATAAATTTTCGCCAAAAAACTCTCTTAACTTCTCTAAATTTAATTTTTATTGAAAATACACATATAAAAAATAAGTTAACAACTACTATTTAATAAAAATCTAAACCGATCCCAAATATTTGTAATTCCATGGTTACAGTGCCTCCACTAATATATAATGTGGTCAGGGATGACCAGTTTAATATATAATATTCAGAGAATATTATCTAGTCCTTGTGAATATATTATACCGTAACTTGGGAGCATAAAAGGAAAGATCTTAATATTACAAATAAATGTAGATTGATTTAGTTTAGTTATTATTATTTAATATATATATATATAAATATGACTTACGGACTATGGACTACATCAAGACAATATGGAATTCAGCTACATCGGAAGAACGTCGTGGCAAAACTGCCACGACTTAATGTAATGTCGTACACATGCAAATTAACGTGATGTCTACTTAGTAATATCCATATTATATGAGTAGACATTAATAATATGTAACAGTCGTTACACTATAAATACAAATGAAAAGTTATTTACAACCGCATTTTATAAATTAATGTTATCTATCTATGTACCTTTGTAACAAGTTATTTTGGATGTCTTTATAATTTAATTTTTATGCAAATTAAAAATTTTTAGCTTTTCCTTTTTTTTTCAACTACATTCAAATTAAACTAATTTTTAAGATAGAATTTATAATGTTTTTTTTTAATAATAGAGAAATGTAGTTTTTATAAAAAAATAATACTAGTTTAATCTTTTAAATAAGATTAATAAGATTAATTACTTCATGGTTTTGAATCAATCTCATTCATTAAATTTCAAAAGTGGAAAAATCTAACCGTTCAAAGTTTACTAGAAAAATAGGACAATCATTTTATATTTTCTGAATGTTTTTCTCTGTTTTTTATTATATCATGAGTATTTAATATTCATGAAACAGTAGCAAATATTCAATAATAAAATTATCTAGTATAATTCTTAAAATAGACTATCTTGCTACACTATATCTGCACTTAGTACTCTTTAGTTTCCCAATTAATATTTAAAGTTCTGATTTGGGACTCTAAGGGCTCAACAATCTCGTAAAATATATATTTATTAAAAGAGTACAGTAATGATTATTAATTAAAACACTGGTCTATTTATTTATTTATTTAATTCTAAATGGATAAAATCCCTTTTGTTCACAATAATATATATGAATAATATTATTAAATTTACAATATATTATACTAAAAAATGATACTAAAATTTTAAAAATGTAGTTATCTTGAGAGAAAAAATTTTAATAATAAGATAATAATTATATAATAATAATAGTAATACATTTTATATTAAATCAAAGTTTAAAGTATAACATTTAGTAATTAAATGTATACACCTAACTAACATTAATGACTTAAACGACAGACAGAGATGACACACAAAACCATACTTGATAATGCTTAGATGTTAAGGTACTCGCAATAAGACTATAATATGTCACATGATATTATGCATATGATGATTGACCATTGATGTCATTATATTTTTCTTCCTCAGTCATATTGCAAAGTTGTATTTGATATTAAAAGTGATTCGGCTATAAACAAAGAAATTTTATGCTTGCATAAAGTATCTGTAACACTGTGTACTCTAGTTTTCTATAGTTAATTATGCTATTAAATAAACCTATACAATCATCATTTTTATATATTGGATAAATACTATTATTTTATATTATAGTGTATAATTGATTATTTAATTCATTGTTTTTATACATTTGTATTCGAATCAACTGCAGAAGTAAAAACAGTCGATGAATTGGAACAATTTTATGTGCTTTGCCCATATAATGTAAAAGATGGATATTTAGTTGAAATAGTTAGAAATTTTCGTGAAAAAGATGAGAAAGGATTAATTATGATATTCACTGATACATGCAAGTAAATATAAACATTATTTAAAGAATTACTAGATTCTTAGGATTTAGATTGGGCTTCATACCCTTGGTATGAATATACCCCATAACTCTCTGGTGTACTTTATATGAAAGATAGAATAATGCTACATAATGACTAATTTTGTAATATTATTCATTAAAGTAGCGGTTCCTAACCTACAAAAAAAAAAATAGGTTATGTTGGAAAATATTGAATTTGTTATATTTAAAACAATTAGTTTTAGAAAAATGCTACACATTTTATTAAAACTTTATCATCAACTTATCTTATAGAAAATAGAGTATAGAATGTAGATTACAGGTGCAATCACAGAAAATATTTTAAGTGGTTTTAGGTTGTACATTTTCATACTTATGTAATCTATAAACTACTTTTACTTAAAAATATATTTAATAATTATCCTAAATTTCAGAGGACAGGGTAGTACCCCTATCACCTTCTCTTGTGTATGCACCTGGTAGATTATAGAATACTATATGTATATAATAATAAGTATAAAAAGAAACTGAATGCAACTTCACATTTAAGATTATATCTTGCATTATTTAAACCTGATTTTAAAGAGCTATTTAACTCAAAATAAGATCTAGGATTTTATATATATTTTGATGTAAAATTTTTATATTCAAGTAAAATATATACATTATTACTTTATATTAGATTGTTGTTATTTTTAATTTAAACATTTTTAGAGTAGTTATGTGTTAAAAAGTTTAAAAGTTATAATAAGGAGTAAAGTCTAAAAAAAAATATTAAGCTTAGGGAGAAAAAAGGTTGGGAACTGTTTCATAAAGTGACCTCAAAAGATAATGAAAAATATGGGTTATGAAATTACAAGATGCTAAGTCTAATAAGGAGGGTTTTTCAAATATATGTGCAGTATTTCTTGGTGGATCACCAGAAATTCACCACAAAAATCCAGGAAACAATATCCCATCACACCCATTCCCGAGTGTAACATATCTCCTATAAAATTAAGACTTATCGTTTTGTCATTTGCTCTTTACAAAACAGTTGAGTATATTATAAAAATCTGTCTTGACTAGATTTTTTTAAAAAAAACTTCCTTATAATAATAAGCCCTAGTAATTTATAAATATTTTTTTCAAAATGATTTCATTTATATTTTTATGAATAATATACGACTCAAAACTCATTATTTTCGTATCGATCGTAGATATAATTTTTTTGTATTATTTTTTGTACGGATTTTATTTATTTCATATACTTGAATAATTTTCTTGCTGTTGTTTGTACTATGTCAGCGGTATACTCATTGAAAAGTACTGACGAGAACACTAAGCCTTGGGGCAGTCCGTTTTGAAGGTATCTGTATTTGCTAGCTTCACCATTCAGGAATACTTTAAATTTTCTATTTGATAGCATACTTTCCAATAATCGGAGTGTCTTTCTACATCTTACTATTTTGGCTATCTTGAGTATTAGACCTCTCTTCCACACTGTATCATATGCCAAGGATAGATCAAGGAAAACTGCGCCAGACTTTTTTTTACAATGAAAATCATTTTCTACAAACGTAGTGAGGCTACTTGGTCGCAGCAGTTCCTATCCTTCTTAAAACCAGCCTGTTTTATTGGCAGTTTCTTTTCTATTATAGGTTGTAGCCTTTGAAGGATAAGTCTCTCAAATACCTTATATACCGTCGATAGCAGTGAAATTGATCTGTAGTTACGGGCATCATTTGCTGGCTTACCCGGTTTTAGTATGGCTATCACTTTAGCTCTCGCCTCAGTTTTAGGAGATCCACACGTATTGGCTACGCTTGTTGACAGCTTTGCTGACCAAGTTTTTCCTTTGGGGCCTAAGTTTTTAATAAATTCCGGAAAAATACCATTGGCTCCTTCTGCTTTGCCGTTTTTAACAGCTTTTAGCGCTGCTTCTATGTCATTCTTTGTGAATTCGTTGAGTAAAGGTGTTGATTCGTTGCGTGCTGAGATTTCATTTATAAGCGATTTTCTGACTTCTGGCTTTATATTAGAGGCCTTGAATAATATCCTTGAAATTTCATTTGGTGTAATCTAATCTTCTTTCCGGACTGGGTGAGCTGCCTCTAGCTTTCTTAAGAGATCCCAGCTTTTCATAATTGAGTGCGTGAAGTCTAGTTCTTCTACGTATGACTCCCACCTCTTTCTCCTTTCTTCATCAAGGAGATTTATTGATCGATTAGCCGAGGCTTCGCTATTATTTTGTTTATATTCGTTAAGTAATCTCTCGCACTCCTTTGTCCAGCATGGTAAATAGTTTTTCCTGTGCCCTCTGGGTATAGCTCTAGTGGCCACTGTTTTAATAAGTTTTATGAACGTTGTATAATTTATGGTTGTTGGATTGATTCGGTTAATATTTTCTCCCTCGTATTTAGTATATTTGTCCCAGTTTGCCTTGCGGAGGTTCCATCGAGATATTTCTGGTTTATTAATCTTGGGGAGATTTATGCCTATGTCTACTATAACCGGCCGATGTTGACTTTTTGGGAACAGGTTCTGTATTGTACGTTTGGTTTGTAGGGGTTGGTTTGACTTGTCGCTTGTGACAAAACACAAGTCTGGGTTAGTATATGTTCCCCATCTGCCTGATTTAAAAGTGCCTTCTTGTTTGGCATCATTTAGTAGGTGCGTGTGATTAAGATGTGACCAATTAACGAGCATCTCACCGTCTTCGTCTTCCATGGTGTTATCCTCATTCGGTGCTATGCGAGTTGAAATCGCCGATGTAAACGCCAGGATGTTGGCAACTTGGGAGCACAGAATTACTCCAGTTGCTTGAAGGTGGTTTATAGACGTTAAAAATTGTGATTTCCCTTATACGTATTTCAATCGTAGGCTCGTTTCCTTCTACTTTTTCCACAAGTTGTTAATTTATATTTTGGTTCACATAAGTAGCGATGCCGTGTTTATTGTGCCCTATATAGTCGATCATCTTAAAACCAATTATCATTAATCATTTCGTTTCTCCCTCTGGAATGTGGGTTTCTTGTAATGTCAAAACATCAGCATCTTTAAAAATTTTCCCTAATATTTCCGCTTTTGCTCTTGTTAAGCCTTCGACATTTATCTGTACTATTCTTGTGTTTCTCTGTGAGTCTATATCAAACATACTACTGTTACTATCATTTTTCACTATCGTTCTGTCTTTATTTGTATTAATTTTTTTTTTCGTTTGTAAATTTTTTTGTGATTTTTTGTTTTATTTTATTTCATGCCCGCATATGATTTGCGTATGTCAGTGTTGAGAGGATGATGGAAGGGGTAGCCCTTAAAAGGGCTGTTTTTGCCGATGAAGCCAGAAGGTCCTTCGACGTTTGGCTGTCGGGTTGTTGCTGTTTCGTTTCGTGCCTCCATAATGTGATTCGCAGTTTAATAACGTTGAGAACAAGACTTGGAAAAGCACTAATTACAGGGGAGACCTCGAGAAGGTACAGAAACACCTCCTCCAAAAAAAAAAAAAAAATTAAAATAATACATTTTTTATTGCTGTTTATTTCACTATTATTAAACTAATATTTATAACCAAAAGTGGCTAAAAAATTTTAGAACAACATCGTCTTTGGCAGAACTCATCCTGACATCTGGTGTTAAAACAAATATAAAAGCCTAATTAATACTTGTTTATTTTACAATATTCTATTTTATTTTGTCAGTGTAAATGGAATTTGTTCCGAGGAGTTTTTCTCTTTTGGTAAAAGTTGGGCCTAATAATTAAAATATCTTTGTGTACATAAATTCAGGTTTTAATTAAACATTAGATAAATAGATAATCAGGCTCAGGTGTCTCGTTTTATTTACAAAATGAAAAAATATTTTAATAATTCTTTGTTTTGTTAAAATCATATTTAGAAACTGTCAGTTGTTACATATGACTTTAAATGAAGTTGGATTTAATACAGTAGAACTTCATGCCATGATATCTCAGAGAGAAAGATTAGCCAGTCTAGCTAAGTTCAAATCTCATGTTTCCAAAATATTAATTGCTACTGATGTTGCTAGTCGTGGTCTTGATATTCCTGCAGTATCATTGGTTATTAACCACATAATTCCCAATAATGCTACTGATTATGTGCATAGAGTTGGAAGAACTGCAAGAGCAGGAAGACAAGGTCTTGCCGTATCAATTGTTACCCAACATGATATAAAGATAGTTCAAGCAATTGAAAATAAAATAAATATTCGATTAAAAGAATATGATGTTTCAGGTGTGTATTAAATATAAAATCTATACAAAAAAAATTAATTTCAAAGATTTTTTAGGTACTTTAAAGTTTTTAATTATTTTTTTATATTTTTTTATTGATGCAAGTAAAAAATTTAGGTCTTGATCAAAATAACTAGATTTTTTAAATTTAAAATCTATTTATAGTTTTAATATATATAATAGAATATTTTAATTTATTTTTAAAAAACATCCCAATGATGTGTTTTATTAAATGTACAATAATATGTAATTCAAAAGATAAAAGTATTAAAAAAATACTTGTAAATTAATTTTTATAAATACATAATAATAAATAACTATTCATTTTATTTAATTATAATTATTATTCTTGGAACATTTTGTTAAATATTACACCATTGATACCTTATTGTATCATCATAATAAAAATATTAAATCCAGTTAATTTATTAATGTTATATCTTACCATTAAAATATTTATTTTTTATTAAACTTATATAAAAATAAATATTCAATTTCAATATTTATCATATAATCATATTTACAATTATTATATTCTTAATAACTTATGATAATTTTTTTTTAATATCATCCAACCTATTTTATAATTTGCTTACAAAGTTTAACAGTAATTGTTATGTAATTAAAATTTAAATATAAACAAATTAGTATTGTTATTAAACTTACTCTAATTTTTCCTATATTTTTACTTACATTCAATATCGGAAGATTATCTGGTATAAGTATACTAATAATTATAGTACTTATTCAAAGAAAAAATTTAAATTATATTTAAAAAAAATATTCATGAAACTTTTTAAGGTTTCTTTAAGTAGTTATTTAAATTTAAAGTTACGGCAATTTGAATTTTGTTTAAAATATTTAGATACTTGTACCAACTAAAATAATTATGAATTCTTTATTAGGACTTCATGTTGCCAAGATTTTAACTCAAGTACATGTTACAAAAAGAGAAGCACAAATCAAACTAGATGAAACAGATTTTGATGAACGGCGTTTAATTAACAAAAGAAAAAAATTAATTAACGAAGGTAAAGACCCTGATAAAGTAGAACAAGAAATCAAACGTCAGAGGAAAGAAAAAAGACGAAAACGATTTGAAAGAAAAAATATTGAAGAAAAAAATAGCATCAATAGTTATCAATGTGCAGATAACGAAGAAGAAAATTTTAAATAATGTAAATTAAATAGTTTTAATTGCGTTTTAAAATGTGAATTACATTCTAAGTTCAAAATTCAGAAAATGTTGATATTCTATTTTTATACAAGAATTATGTTATTTCATTATATATAGTATTAATAAACTGGCTATATGTTTGTATTCATTAATTTATAAAATTTAAAATTTTTATTTTTAAAGTTTGAAAATTAAATTGTTCATAAAATTTTCTAGTCAGCAAAAATATATAAATATATATATATATATATTGGCGAAATTTAAATGTTAAAAAATGAAATTTTAATGGAATCTGATACTTCATTGAATTTCCATTAAATTTTTCGGTATTGGTTGTTCAGTAAAAACATTTCATAATTTTGAAATACTTTATTAACATTTTTTGCTGTTAATGGATAGGCACTTGAAATTGTCGATTTTTTAAATTTAAAATGTCTTTTTTGGTAGTTGTAGAAGCTAGAATATTAAAAGTTCCACTTATATTACTTATATAACCATTTTTAGAAGTAAAAACTGATCTATCCAACGTATTTTATTCAAAATAATTTTTTCGAGAGCAATGGTACATTGGTTTCAAGTGTAAAAGTTGAAACATTTTAACGCATGTGGAGATTTCGTAGTCTTCTAAAATTTGTTAGTGCATATTTTAATTTCAATTTATAGGTTAGGTTAAGCAAGGGGTACCACCCTCATAATTTTCCACTTAGGCAATTTATACGCCTCTGAGTATAGGATACTATTAACGAATGAAAGATACACAGCGCACGCATTGCTAAAGCATGTATCATACATTTATCAACAGTATCTCATATACGTAGGTGGATTATCGTAATAATTCGTCATCCTGAAATATACATTACATACATTATAGATATCTGTAAATATATTACTAAAAAAATTGTAGCTCTTTTTTCGTTGTAGTAACCGTATCGATTGTGTATGTTAAATATCATATATTTATTTAACAGATCTTTGGGTTATACCAAACATATAATGACACTGTACGAATAGAAAAGTATTAACGATTTTCATACATAAATTATGTACATTTTGTTTTAATTTACAGTACGTTTTTCATTCGACTAATGTTCACTTCTTTTAACTGACATATCAAATTTTGTAAAAATTATTTTAGGAAGAACAGGTATATACCTTGGTATTAAGGTATCAAACATAAATCCATCATTCCGTAAGATATTATTGTATGAAACTCTGTATCAAGGTATGACAACACGTAATTATAATATAATTATAATATTTATAAAAAATATTAAATACACATAATAATTATGAATATTAGTAATTACTTTTTTAGTGTTAAATTGTCTTAAATCTCGGTAGACGGTAAAATCTTGACGGTTCCGAGATTGGGTTGGCTACACTGCTTTTACACTCATTGACGAAAAAGTCGGGATCGATCGTGTTCACTGTTCCATTTTATTAATAAAATTTTCACTCCTTTCATTTTTTTTGTTTTTTTTTTTTGTTCACTGTAATTTTAATTACTTTTTCAGACTGTTTATCGACACCTTATCTCTGTATGTGTGCGTGCGTATGTAAGTCAGTGTCTCTGCCCCAGTACGCATGCAGTATATTTTATTATACGTGTACTGTTGAAGACGGATGACGAATTCGTTTTGGACGGAATAGGACGTCCATACAGATCACTACTGCAGTTAAAACTAAAATGCAATAATTATCATAATAAAATTAGTATTTCGAACAACAAAACATCGTCTGCGACCATCTCGAAGTAAAACTATAAGGTCTGGCCGTGTCGTCGTTATCTAGTCCGCGACTGCGGCGTTGTGTGTTATCGATCTTAGGATGACAATAACGAAGAAGATAAAGCGTTTAAGACCACTTTGGAGAACGTTGCAAGTACGTGCTCATACCTAAATGTATCTTCTTTTCATTTGAGTTATACCACTTCAATATGTTTAGGGTAAATTGTTTTCTGTAGTTGCAGTGGATACCTACCTGATATTGTATTTTCTGTATGAAATAAATGTGTGATGCTTATAACTGATGACATGGTCGACCAACATATAGCATACATTTGTCTGTGCGTTGGTCAACTGTTAATTGTATTTCAAATCTGATTGTAGGAATTTAACTGATTTATCTGACATCTATTGATGGTTTGACTATCATTATGTTTTTCTAAAGTATTATTGTTGCAGTTCACAAATGCTCAATATTGATTTATATTTTACTTATGAATTGTTATTATGTTATAAATCAATGTAATTTCATTTATTCATTATAGAATAAGTATAAAACATTAGTCATGTCACAGTGTCTATTGTGTGTTGTAAAATATGGATTTAAAGTAAAAGATAAAAAAAAATAACATAATTTATCAGTTGATATTGCATTGCACCTTTGTACTAATTTGAATTATATTTGTGTGTTAGACATCAAATATTTTATTATTATTATAATAAATTTATAAAAAATAACCACTGTAGGAACATACAATTTTTATCATACAAATATTTTATGGTTGTTAATGATCAATCAGTTAAATATATTTTTCAATATTTATACTAGTCATATTCAGGTATCTAGTTATAATAGTAAAATTATTTTCTTAAATATTGTTTTTGTAAATTAAAACAAATTTTAATGATTTTAAATAATTGTAAATAAGATGATCCTGTTGCGCAGAAAATATGAATATTTTAAATAAATGTAATGTTTTTTTGGTAGGTATGTATAATTATTTTACGAATATTTTTTTGGTAATTAATTATATTTTTATTTGATTTATATAGATTTACTTTCTTTATTATAACTTTTATTATTTTTGTCTACATTATTTTTATATATATATATATATATAATATTAAATATCAAAGAATCTAATGTTAGATCGTTTAAAATACTTTAATTAAAATAATATTTTAAAGGTTTATAGTAGATGATATTAGTTAAAGTAAAATAATTTACTTTTATTGAAGTCATGTACAATTGTCACTATATAGCAATGACATCATGAATAAATAATTAATTTAAGTGACAGAAACACATGCCATATTCATGAGTATATTCTATATTATGCTATGTATGAACATCAATTTACTATCAGTAGTCTGTAACATACTGTCCTGTACAGTATTAATTGTTAATCAAGTCACATTTATCTTCAGACGATGGGTGACTCCATTGTAATTATTATTCTTAAGAATACCTTATAGCTTATAAATTCATAACAAATATATCACATTATATCTCAAAGCCTTATAGGTTTTTTAGTATTAATGCTTGAATGTATTTATATTTGAGGTTATAGTTTAGCATTAAATCCACCATTGTCAATGTAATATTGACTGGTACATTTTTTTCATTAAAAAATAAGTTGTATAATATTAATTTTTTGTTAATGAAAAAATCTTAATCTTATTACTATCCATCTAACTGTATAAAAATAATGATTTACTATAATAATTCAAGAAAACCTATTAGAATATGTTGTGGAAAAATTAAAATATTTAGTACATTTTTTTAATATTTTCCAATCAAAACTTATTTTTTATTGTTTATATTGTTCCAGATACTATATTATACTTAAAATTTTTATCATACATTAGTATATGAAGAAAGTGTTGATAATACATCATTAAAAATGCCAGCGATTCCAAGGCCTGGAAGTTTAAAAGATCCAGAAATAGCAGAACTTTTTGATAAAGACGACCCAGATAAAATATTTGAGGACTTACGAGAGATTGGGCACGGAAGTTTTGGTGCTGTATATTATGCAAGATGTTTATTAACAAAGGAGATAGTTGCCATAAAAAAGATGTCTTACCTAGGCAAACAAAGTATGGAAAAATGGCAAGATATATTGAAAGAAATAAGGTTTCTAAGGCATCTTAGTCATCCAAATACAATAGAATACAAAGGGTGTTTTTTACGAGATCACACTGCTTGGGTATTAATTTAATGTTTTATATTAGCAAAATGAAGGAATGTAATAATTTTCATTTTTAGTTGGTAATGGAATACTGTTTGGGCTCTGCCTCAGATATTATAGAAGTGCATAAGAGACCTCTTATGGAAGAAGAAATTGCTGCTATTTGTGATGGTGTTTTAAAAGGTCTTAATTATCTTCATTCCTTAGGTCGTATACACAGAGATGTAAAAGCAGGAAACATCTTATTAACAGAAAATGGCACAGTTAAACTTGGTAATATTCTTTATTTATTTTTTCCTAATTTCTTCACTAATGGAAAGTTATATTTATTTAATTTAGCTGATTTTGGTTCTGCCAGTACAAAATGTCCAGCTAACAGTTTTGTTGGCACTCCATATTGGATGGCACCTGAAGTTATATTGGCTATGGATGAAGGGCAATATGATGGAAAAGTTGATGTTTGGTCATTGGGTATAACATGTATTGAATTAGGTAAAAATATTAATTATCCATGTTCAAAAATGTGTATGATTTAATGACTGACTTTATGTATTAAATTATTCTATATAATAATGTTTAATAATTTAGTTATTCTTAACTAATTTAATGTGTGTATAAACATGTATTTACAAAGAATATCGATGTGTCTATAATTTTTAAATATATTTTTTTAGCCGAAAGAAAACCTCCATATTTTAATATGAATGCAATGAGTGCTCTGTATCATATTGCACAGAATGATACTCCTACTTTACAGTCATCTGAATGGACAGATACATTTCGTCACTTTGTTGAACTGTGTTTACAAAAAAATCCTTGTGAACGCCCATCATCAACTAAACTGTTAACAGTTAGTATATAATAGATATAAATTTAATATAATAAATATTTTAAATTATTAAACTCTATTTATTTTATTTTTTAGCATCAGTTATTAGTCCGTTCAAGATCACCTCATGTTTTAATTGATCTTATTCAAAGAACAAAAGCTGCTGTACGTGATTTAGATAACCTTAATTACAGAAAAATGAAGAAAATTCTTATGGTAGACTCTTATGAAACTGAAAGCACTGTCGGTGACACTGATGGTAAGTATATCTATTATAAATTAATTTGTTGTTTCACTTTGAAAAATGAAACATCAAATTATGTTTGTATTTATAATTTGTAATTAATGCCAGACACGGCTGATGAACAAACAGGAGGCGAGAGCAGTAAAAGTAATAGTATCACTTCTGAGCATTCAATACAGTCAATTGGTGTCAGTGCTTCTTCTCACAGTAGTTCGACCAATAGTACACCGAACATGAATGAAATAACCAATATGAGCACAAATGACCATTATCCACCTGCTAGAAATCGTCATAAAGTATTATTAATATATTACTATTATTTAAATGCTTTGCACAAACACCTTATAAATCTATAATTCATGATCATATATGGACATTTAATTATTTATTTTACTTGATTTATTTCCTCATAATATTGTAGTATATACAATGTTTATAAAATAATGTACATAAATGGTAAAAATATTAATTTTGTTTATGCATTATATTACACAGAAAAAATTATAAATTGATTAATTAATACTCGCACACACACACACACACACATATATATATATATATAAAACTTTATCATTAGAATATTTATTTGAAATTTAAATTTTTTATCTTAATCAATCAACATTAGTCAATACTAAAAAATTTTCCTTTAGATGAGTTTTCAAATATTTTTTTGTAAAATATTTAATATAATTGAAAGATATGTATACAGTTTTATTATTTCTCATAAATAAAACAAATTAGTAAACTATGGTTTTTTTTTAAGTATTCAAGAAATATGAATTTAAATGTAGTGTATAAAAAAGTATAATTTATGTATAGATAATTTTAATAATCGATTGCTTTATATTATTTCAGCTTCCAAATAACAATTCTAATTCTATTGTATCTAATGATCATGTGGCTACTGGAGGTGCCAATAACTTTGCAACAATTCGAACAACATCAATAGTCACAAAACAACAAAAAGAACATATGCAGGAAGAAATGCATGAACAAATGTCAGGGTATAAACGAATGAGAAGAGAACATCAAGGCGCATTATTAAAAGTAATGGTGTTAAAACACTATATTATTGATAATATATAATTAATTTATATTTTCATAAATAAATTATTACTTTGTTTTAGCTTGAAGACAAGTGTAAACTTGAAATGGAAAGTCATAAACAGCTTTTAGATAAAGAGTATGAAACATTATTGCAACAATTTAGCAAAGAACTAGAAAAACTTCAAATCAAACATCAACAAGAATTAGAAAAAAAGGTATTTATAAATTGAAAACAAATATAAAATAATTTTAATATGCTTTGTCACTTAATTAACTTATTAGTAGATATTGAATAAATTTAACCTTGCCTTTCTCAATTTATAATGTAATTTAATTAAATCTCTAGATTATTTATTGTGAAATTGTGAAATTTAGATGAAACAAAATGTTGCTGCTGAAAAGAAAATTATGAAAGAAATAACCAATCGACAAGAAGCTGATCGCAAAGCATTTGATACTCAAAAAAAAAAAGAATATAAGACCAATAAAGAGCGATGGAAACGTGAATTATCTTTGGATGAATCCACGCCTAAACGTCAAAGAGATCTTGCTTTACAGTTAATATACATATTATATTATTATTATGTTATAATGTTTAAACAATTATTTTGATTTTAATACGTAGAAATCAAAAAGATAATCTTAAACAAATGGAAGCTCAAGAGGAATTCAGACTTGTTCGAGGTCAAAAAGACTATTTGGAACTTGAAATTAGAAAATTCCGTAGAAAAAGGCTGAATCAATTCCATTTGTTTGAACAGGGATTATTAAGAGAAGTATGTTATTTTATATATATATATATATACATATATACCTGGATTTTATTAATATTTACAGAGCCATTAAAAATTAATGGTTTTTTGTTCTATATAAAAGATTAAAATATATTTATATTATCAGTATCTACAAATTTCTACATTCATGGTTATAGTAGTTCTTTAAACAAATTCTAATAAGTGAATATTTAATTATGGTTTAACACTTCATTTTAATAATTTATTATACAGCATTTCAAAGAATATGTATACAAATTTAAATGAAGAAAACATTAGAAAATATTTTTATTCATTAAAAATAAATCATTCGTAAATATATTATGTTATTATGAGAATTTTTTTTCTTAGGAACTTGGTAAAAGGCAACAACAGCTAGAAACAGCTCATTCCATGTTATTACGACATCACGAAGATACTAGAAATCTTGAAACAAGGCAACAACGAGCTGTTCATGCTTTACGCGGTGATCAAGTCACAAGACAACATGAAACTGAGTTACAACATCAACATGATTATTCAACGCGTGCTCATCGTGATTTACGTAAAAGACATGCAATGCAGTTAAGACAGCAACCTAAGAGTCTTAAAGTGAGAAATAGTTATTTTTACTAAAGTTAAAAAATTAAACTTAGTTCATTGGAGGGAAAAAAATATAAACATTAAAATTATGTACTTTTTATATTTTATAAACAAATTTATATTAATTATTATGTACATACTTATTTTATAAAAAAAAATCTAATCTTGCTAAAATCATACTGTCACTTCAAGTTAAAAAATGTTACCTTATCCTATTTAATTATTTTACCTATTTTATTTTCATATATATATATATTAACCTATAAGTATTTAACTATTATTTTATTTAGCAAAAAGAAATGCAAATTCGGAAACAGTTTAGAGAAACTTGTAAAACTCAAACTAGACAGTACAAAGTATTAAAAGCTCAAGTACTGGCCACTACTACCAAAGATGAACAGAAATCTGTAATAAAGAAATTAAAAGAAGAGCAAAGAAGAAAGTTAGCATTGCTTGGAGAACAATACGAACAAAGTATTGCTGAGATGTTACAAAAACAATCCGTACGTTATAATGATATTAAATGTAATGTTATTTTTACTCATAGTTAATTTTACATAAATATTTTATAGATACGACTTGATGAATCGCAAGAAGTAGAGTGTCATGTTCTTAAAGAGCGTTTAAGATATGAACTTGAAATATTAATAGCCTATCAGTCTAAAAACAAGATGCAAGCTGATGCTCAAAGAAATCGTGAAAAAAAAGAATTGGAAGATCGCATTTCAGTTCGAAGATCATTGTTAGAACAAAAGGTATTATTATTATTTTTTTGGTTTTGCCAAATTACTAAAAGTAAAGTTATGTTCTTATTTAATCATTTAATTTAAACTTAAATTAGTATTTATTTTTTCAGTTCTTGATATTTAATATAATTTACATTTTTTGAATTTCATGAATTGATTTTAATTAATCTCAAATATATATTTCTCCAAAATACATCTTAATCCCTCAGAAGTATATAATTACACTTAATTAATTTTTTAGTAAAGTAGAAGAGTTATGAAATTTATCTTCTAAAATGTTATACTCATTAAATTTATAGGTAATGCAACTCTTTGAATTTTAAATATTGTTGTTTATTTCCTCATAATTATTTGATGTTTACACCTTTATATATTAAGCAATCCATTGTTAATGTTAACAACTATTATTGAATTCAGTAATTAAAATTATTACTAATGTCTTTAAAAATATCTAATTTTTAAATATTGATAGAAATTTATATTTTTAGATTTACTTATTTTGTATTTACATGATAGACCTTTCTTATTCATTGTAAAATATACAATATTCATATAAAGTAAATACAATTAATAAAAATAAATGTAATTAAAAGCATAAGCATATTTATAGTAGAAATGAGTAAGTTGGGTCCCTTTATCTAATTTTATCAATAACAGAATGCGTTAATTATATAAAGAATTTGTTGCACACATTGAGTTATTGAATAGAAAAAGTGTTTATGAGTTTGCCCTAGATACCTTAAATTGACTTAAGCTTATATCTCCAAAGCATCCTATAAAGTTTATATAAAAATATTAAATGAACTTAGATTCTTCTATTATTCAATATATATATATATATAAGTATAGACAATTTAATACCGGTGTATAGTGCTATAGGGCGTTCAAGATGAAAGATGCATAATTCAAAAATTTAAATGGCAGGAATTTCACAATGTGAGTGTACCCAAATCACAACACCATACTCTAAAGGGGAGCGAACAAATATAACGCACAATATGTTTACAGAGAATTATATATTTTAAATGCGAATGATATTCTTTTAATGAAATCAAGCATTTTCAGAACTTTACATGTAGAATTTTCAATATGGCCATGAAAGGTTAGTGAATGGTTGAACGCTATACTTATGTATATAATACTACTCCCCAAAAAATGTAAATTTATATCAACTGTATTGTTAAGATGAACTGGGCTGAGGATGTATATTGATATAAGAGTAAAATTAGTTGTTAGAGAAAAATGTTGGTTATATCAAAATTTAAAAAAAAATAATTTTAACAAATATATATATGTAATTTAGTATTTATTTATTACGTAGTATTATAACTTTATGTGTGAAAAAAATAAAAAAATAAACAATTGTACAAAATGAAATAGTAATAAAATTTATAAATTTTTAGACAAATTCTACTTGTATGTCTAATTTTAGATCATGCTTTTATAAATATTAATTATTTAAAGGATGTTGCATTTGCATGTGTTGTTTCCATCATTTTTAAGCAAGTCATAAGCTTTTTTAAATTATAGTATTTTAAATAATTATAACTTAAAAATTGAAATCTCATTAAAAAATGGTGATAGTGAATAATCTTCTTATTTTTAATTTTGATAATAGGTCAGTTTACTCTAATATTAAAGCTAAAAACATAAAATTGGTTTACTAATGATATTGTATTGTATGTCAACACATGTGTATATGGTGTCCTCTTCAAACAAATATCTAACATCTACTTTTGCATAATTGTGAAAGTCACTTGGTTATCTTATTATTTCTCAATTTATTATTCATTAATTATAATTTTTATAAATATTTATATATTAAAACTGCTATTGTTCCACTTTTTTCAGATGGAAATGGAAACCTCCCAATTTCTTCAAGAGCGTGGAGAACGGATTCGTCTTCTCCGTGAAAAACAAGAAAGAGAACTAGAACAGTTTGATGAAGAATCAGCTCACTTCGGATTTAGGTGAGTTACTTTTTATTTAGTTACTATTGAATGTTGTGTTATTTTTATTAATATTTCAATTATTAATTCTAGTGCTCTAGCAATTTCTGAGGCATCAACTTTGGAACAAGATAGCTTATCTGGGAGTATGCTTAGTTTAGCACGCAGTAACAGTACTAATTCTTTTCATGATGGGAATCTATAGCTCATTCATTATTATGTAAATAAATTTATTATCTGCCTTTTTAACAGCTTTTTAATATTTACACATATCAAATGATAGACAAATTTTCATTTAAACTTTGTTCTACTTAAATACTTTTATTATACTCAGTATTAGAAAGCTTAATTAACAGATCGAAATTAACATATTTTCTTGAAAACAAATTAATAATAATAGTATTGTATAATTATAATTACTATAATTCATAATATATTTTTTAGGCTCTGTTAATTTTGTAATTAAATAACAATAAATGTGAACAAAAATTTTTACTTGATATATATAATTATTTATATATAGGTATATCTAAATATACATATATACATATATTATTATTGTAACGTTTTTATTGTGTATATAAATATATAGTAAGTTGAAAATATTTAAATTTATATGTTAAATGTATTTGATTTTTTCGTTCTTGTGGACTGTATAATATTTCAAACAACATAATAACGAACATAATAAATGATGTATGATTTGGTCTATTTATTTTATTACCTTTTTTTTTCTTCATATAGTTGACGACCAAGCGGTATGTGCAATGCTTTCAACGGGATCACCTATTTTTAAGTAGCAATCAATTCATTTAGTTCTACTAAAACAAATCACCAAATGACAGAGTATTTGAATACAGCATACTCAACATGTGTATTATAAAATAGGTACTTAAAAATTATTTGAAAATGTCTAAAATATGTATTTCTCAATTGTACAGATTTTAAGAATATTTTAAGATTAATTATGTTCTAAGATACATTTTAATAATGTGTAAGAATAAGCAATACATTTTGTTTATTTTACGTGTCAATTTTGAAACCTAGGATTTATGGGAAAAAAATCATAAGTAAAAGCAAAATAAATTAAATGGAACAATTAAAAGTAGGTAATGAAAAAATTCCCTTTTACTTATATCATTAGCTATTTATTTTTAATTTTAACACAATTTACTTTTTACATTTTTTATTTGATTCATTAGGATTTCTCTTCATCCATTGTTTTTGCACCGAGCCTTTAAAACCAAGCATTGCCGATTTTGAATAAACGTCTTTAGTGGCAAAAGGAGATAATCCAGCTGTATAGTCTGGGTCCAAAGCATTGGTTTTGGTTTTAGCTAACCTAGATGGCCGTTGATGTGGCATTGGTTGATCTTCTACTAACCTTGGATTAATTGCATGTTTACCACCTTGTGGTTTTGGTAATGAGTACTTTTTACCTTTTGTACTTAATGGTCGTTTACCATTTATGTATATACATTGTTTGCCATTTTCGTCCAGATATACAGCTACACGTTTCAAGCTTTTATTACCACACTTAGGGCAAAACATTCTTGTCATATTTGATGTCAATGTAAAACACCCATAGCAGCGTCTTATATAAGTACGGACTTCTTTAATGACACGTCCATCTAGAGCAACAATAGACAGTCCAATTTGTTTGATAACGTTTTGTAAAGCATAGTCAGTAGTAATACAACCAACTTTGGCTTCTTGTTCAGTATCATCTTGATCATTTTTTATTATATCTTTTATATTATCTTCAGTAATCCATCCTTCATCAATTTCTAACTCTGATACATCATCGCACAAACGGTCTGGATCATAAAATCCAATAGTATTGTCACTGATCTCTGGCTTTTTTAATAAAACAGATTTAGCTTCTGGAACAGTTTTCAATCCATCAGTACCATATTTTTCTTTATGTATTTGATAAGCTAAAGCGATCACTTTGATATCAGTGACAGACAGAGTAGGATAATCACCAGTCTTCTTTGAAAAGTCGATCACAAATTGGACGTGTTCCGGAAATACAGTTTCGACATTTAATGTGTATGGCAGCACAGCTAGATCGACCTTTTGCCGTTTACTCGTTACTTCGTGCACCACTTCTTTTATAGTGTAAATGTTAGTGCCAAAGTCTTGTAGTGGTGCCTTGTTGATGAAACCTGCCGTGTCCACGATCAAATGTTCTATTTTACCCATCGCGTCCAGCTGCTGCGATGGCGTAAAAATTCGAAAGCGATTCGACACAACAGTAGAACAAGAAAACAAGAAAACGTTGGATACTTATATTCCTCGTGGTCAATTTATTTGATAGCCTGAACGTTCTAAGATATCACACAGAATAGATTTCATTTAATCTATTATGTGATATTATCACTTCAATCACTGGTATTGTTTAATGTGATAATGTGATATCACGTAACGCGCAACCACGGACATTGATGACGCCATCTATAAACAAACTTTGAGCATCGCAACGTGTGCTAAAGTAAAGTGAATAATTTGAATACATTCAAAAATACTCGGCCAACTCCACAAATGAATAACCGCTCAAAGTAGGACTGACGGTAATTCAAATTTTGATACGTAATTCAATATTTGTTCACTACCTACCGATAGGAGCTGGTACAGTTCTCCCGATTTTGATAACAACGAGTTATCACCAAAATCGAATTTCGGGAGATCGGTTGTGCCAGCCTTAGAAAAATAAATTTTCCGTATTATAATAATAATTAAAAAGTTTTTTTTACCGACGTAACCAACGTAAAATTACAAAAATCCTTATATTGAAAATAAAATGTAAAAATAAGAACTTAACAATCGCTTATCAATTATAACTACAGATTATCAATACTAACTTTACGTGAATTTAAAACATGTTTAAATTATAAATTATTTAAAGGAATATTTACATGCATAACATAATAACAAAATAAACATAATAATTGTTTAAGTTGTAAACATCAGGTCATCAGATTATTAATATTAGCTGTAGCGTAATTATAAGGGAGGGCATAGGTAACATAACGCAATTTGTTTCTAAACCATAAAATGAGTTTTAAGACTTGCGTAAAAACAATCAAGTAAACATAGAATACACTTAAATATAATACAGTTCTTTTTCATTTATTAATTTAACCATTCGAATTTTTGTCAATTTGATTGAAGAACATTTCCTATTGATGGATCAAATACTTTTATTAATCTGGGTTTATCTCACTGAAAGAAATCTCGCGTACAAACTGATACAACACAAAATAAATTTCAATATATAAAATATGATTTATATACAATGCAACTATTCAACAAAATTGAGTTAAATAGTAAATGTTGAACCTCCTTAAGGAGTCATCTTTATTTTAAGTTTTAACCTAATGTGAGCCTTGTCTTAATGGGATTTGAGGAACTTTTATTAATAAATTGTATTCAAATTGAACTACATACTATAGGTTATTGTTATATGATAACTTTTTGAACTTTGAGTCAGACTGCATGTGCATATCATATATAGACTGGAGTAAAATACTTTTTAAAAGTATTTAGAATAAATACTCGAATACAAGTACTTACAAAAAATAGTATTCCGAATATGTATTCAAATACTTTATACAAATTGTATTCTGAATACATTGTTTAGAATACTTCAAAAGTATTCCGAGTACTTTTAAAATACTTCTAGTTTTCATAATATAAAAATAATAGATGGCCACTTAACAGAAGTATTTTATTGTATTTTTATATTACATAACTGTTATAGTTTATGGTTTACAATAATAATAAATACCTGATATTAGCTTATACAAGATATAACGGAAAAGTAATAAAATCATTTAAAAAAGAGATAATACATCCATCACTATAATCTATAACTTTTAATTTTAAATTCAAAAATGTCAAAAATGACTTAAAAACCATTAAAATGCCCTAAAAAATAAGAAAAATGACTTTAAAATCAAAAATTCTCAAAAAATGCAAAAAAATGCAAAATAAAATTTCTTATTCTTATTTAAAAATACCTAAAACATATTTGTAACAAAACGAGTATCGTACAGAAAGCTTCAGAAAAAAATTCAAAGTACATCGAAATCCCAGCTCTAGTGATCACGAATTGACGTAAACACCTAGTAAGTAGAAAAAAGTAAAAAACTATTCATTTTACAATTGTCCTAACTAAACATGTTATTGATTACTTCTAAAATTAGCCGGAGTGGAGTAAATTATTTTTGTTCCCCTCCGAGTAGAGTAGAATACCACCTTGTATGCGCAGACACATTATTTATAATAAAAATCTCGTTAATGTGTATATATAAACAGTAGCATTGACTATTCACAGTAAGACTTACTTAGTTTATGGTATTAATATTTAGTCGGGCTAACCAAGTGTTATAATAGTTAATAGTAGACTGTCGTCTACTTTTACTATTCTTCTTTAAATATCAAATAACATTTATTACAACATGTTAAGAAATCGAAAATACTCTATTTTTATCATGTTATAACTCGACAGTAAAATATAATAAAATTATTGTGATTCAAAAATTTATTTATATATAAATACTTCTTGCAGAGTAAAAATGTACAAAAGATATAGTTTTATTAATTTATCGGTCATTTGAATACAAATCGAATAATACCTATGAAACTTTTTTACGGTAAAATTAAAATTAATTTTTTATTAATGTTTTGATTTGTCCACGTATATACAAGTAAATATAATATGAGTACATTAATTTTAGATTTATTATTTTATTCTTATTTTAGACTCAAAAATTATATTTTCATCTGGGTAAACAGCCAAAACTTTTGTATTTGCTATTTTTTATTGCAGGATAACCAACACCATACGTCTAACCACTAAATATGCTTTTTACGTTTGTTATAATATTAATGGCCATTAATATTTCTAAATGTATTGACACCTATAGAATTTTATTGACTGTTAAAATTTTCAACAGCAATATTTAACAAAATTATTTATTTCCATGTTAAATTATTTTATTGTTTATTTTATATTTCCATTTTGAACACATAAATTATTTTATTTTATTTCATTTTTTCTTTTATCGATGATTAATTATTTCATTATAAATTTCACACTTCCATTTTAATCACTTAATTTATTTAATTCGTGGTCATGATATATTTTACTTTTTTTCAATATTTTTTACCTCATAATTGGAATTTATTGTGTTGAATGGTGTTTCAAAAAAAACGCAGGATTTAAATCCGCTATAAATTAAATTTATTTCTTTTAAAAAAAACATAATAAATACTCGTATATCATTCTCTTCAGGAGAAGTTAAGGTTTAACTGTGAAAAATAATATCGGACATATGACCCTTCTAGTAGCCCTATAGATAATTATTCTTTTCATAAAATTTACCATCACTAGATAACACATTGCCCCATCAAGTTCGTTGAGGACACGACGAATTTCTTGCTTGAGTTCTAACAGTGGCAGCTCGTGATGTTCAAAGTGGGTGGTGTGCAAAAAATAAATCACAAAAGTTTAATTACAAATAAATTAGATTCAAAATGTCATTATCATGATATTTATTGGATTTTTACATATTTTTAAAACATGTATTGTGAATTATAATATTACATATTTGTCATAATTTATTGTATCTATATATTGTTACAATAAGCAACAGTGTCATAATTAATTATAGAAAGTAGTTACACAAAAAAATTAAATATTTTTATATATAAAGTCAATTCTCCTTGGAATTGGCAAATTGTTCTATGACTTTATTATTGAAATCAGTTATATTCATTACAAAGTTTTTTTCGATGGTTAGCATTGCTAACGTCGATAATCTGTCTTGATGCATTGTATTACGTAAAAATGTTTTGATTCTTTTTAATGTAGAAAAACACCTTTCTGATTCCGCTGTAGACATTGATATTGTAATGATAATTTTTAACAGCTTCATGCTCACACCTAATGTACCAATAAGGTTTTCAGATTGTATAAATTATAATAATGTATAATTGTATAATTAATAAATAATAATACAACAGCACCACTCATAGATCTAAATTCAGTTCTGCTATAGATTAATTGTAACTCGGTTTTTAGTTTTTTAGTGTCAAAATATGGATATACATTTATAGTTTCATTAAAATAATCTTCCGGAAAATGCTTATGATATTTTTCAAAATTATCGGCCAAAAATAAAGCAACCAGATGACCAGTAAAACCAAATCTTTGTTTTATTTGAGATATAATATTATCACACATTTCAATTGCTTCTCGTTTTATTTCATCTTCTCTGTGTTTTCTTTTATCACCACTTTGTTCAAAATTACCTTCACATAACGTTCCCATTTGGTTTCTTATTTTGAAAATCTCTTTAATAAAATTTTCAATATTATGTTTCACAGTTGTTGAATCAGTTTCTCTTTTTTATAATTGACTATACAATATATCGACATGAGTCATGATATTGTGAAAAATTGTAAACCAAGAAATAAATGTATTATCAAGTAATGTTCTTTTTAGTCTCGATGCCTGTTCAATAGTAGGTATATGTTTAATGGATTCATCACTTATTATTTTTTCCATGCAATTAATTAATTTTTCCCTATACTCGAATACAGTATTTACTGTTCTAGAATGAAAATGCCATCTTGTATGAGCTACTTTAGGTAAACGTCTTTGAACAACTTCGTCCAAAACAGCAGTTCTTTGAGAAGACGTTGAAAAAAATGTACAAAAACTTTTGAAAAATCCGAACATTCCTACTTATTGAAGCAGCATTAGCCATAACTAAATTAAGCTGGTGAGCGTAACAGTATACATAATTAGCATTTGGATAATGTTGTTTAATTTTTGCCTGAACTCCGTTAATATTGCCGCTCATAACTGAAGCGCCATCATATGTCGGTGCAATCAATTTACCAGTGACATCACCAATATGTTGGGCAAGTTGTTCTTTAATGCACTCAGCTAATACTTCAGAATTATGTTCTTAGGCTTTAAAAATCCCCAAAATCTTTCAACAACTTTATCATTAACTATATACCGATAAACAATAACCATTTGAAAAATAGCACTCACATCAGTAGTCTCGTCAGCTGTTATTGCTAAATAATCAGCCTTTTTGATTTCTACTGATATTTCTTGCCGACAAATATTTAACATGCACTTTAATAATTCGTTCTGTATAGTTTTTGACGTACCTTTAAAAACGGTTGCTTTTTCTAAGTGCACTTATAATGCACTATCCAATTCCGCACTAAAACTTATTAAACCACGAAAAATTCCTGAATTCAAAGATGTATCTTTTTCATCATGCCCTCTCAATGCTAATTCGAAAGCGCCACAAAATCTATTGAAATTAATAATTTCATTCAAAATGTATCGATTGTTTGAAACTTTCTCACTGTGTAGCTCTATACCTAAATAAAAAAATACATTTTTAAACGACCAAACAGTAATATAAATAAAGTACATAAATAAATACCTCTTCTGTAATTGCTATCCAACATTGAAAGAACATTTGTTTTACCTAACGTTGCTAAATTCAAGGTGTTATTCATATGTTTAACAGTTAAGTCGTGTTTTTTCATTCGATCATTTAAATGATTTAAATCTGAAATTCCTTTTTTGGTCCATACCATTTCTCCACCAAATAATAAACACGGAAAACAAAAAACTGCATTACGTTTATCACAACCACAGAGCCAATTATTATACTTCGTGTAAGTATCAATGGTAAATGAACGTGTAAAATGACGTGTTTTCTTTTTAATGACTTGTATTAATTTCAAATCAGTTATAGGTCTCCCTAATGTTTTTATTTTAATTTTTTCGTCAATTGTATGTAAAGAAAACTTTTTTTCTAAAAGATAATCAACCGAATTCATTATTTATATTGTAATATAAATGAAATTGTGAGTATGATGAAATAAAGGTTACTACACATAACAGTGAACAAAGGCGAAATGATTACTAACATATTTTATTATTATAAAGGTCTTTTGTTAAAACTAAAAATACTTTTATTGAAATAAATATTACGATAATTATGAAGAAAATAGAAAATACGGTGGACTATTTCTGATAAGACACGCCGTGGCGGTATTGTTTACCGTGTGTGTTACCGAGTGTGCAGCAATTGCTGCACACCACGGACACATTTATGCGTCAACCCCCACTCCACCGATGACGGAGAGTATTTCACAGGCTGAAAGTGTTCTGACTGAGCTGCACACCAGTTGATGTGTGTATATTACATAACTTACCAAATTTTAGGAGTAGTATTTTCGAGTTTTGGTGAATATGAAATGTTTGTAAAATTTATTTTGTATAATAAAATAAATATAATTTAGCAGATAATTAAATTAAATTTTACTTTTATATTTATGACAGGGGTGACAAATAAGTGGCACGCATGAGATTTTTGATGGCACTCAAAAAACTATTATTTGTCCATATATATTTATAGGTTTTTTTAAGTAAAACACAATAAATTGAATTATTAATTACACATATTAATAGTACATATTTCACAACCACGTATTGTTATCTTATATTTATTATAAAAAAAAAAAATTATATGTTGTAATATAGTGGGACACTAGATTACTAGAAATGTGTGTTCACTTCAACTAGAAGTTGTATTCTAACACACAACAATAATAATTTAATATATTTTTACATTATTTCTATTTTACATAACTTTCTATATTATAATTATTATTTTTTCATTTATATATTTTATTTGTATTTTTCTGTGTTAATAAAAATAATTTTGGCACGGCTAAAATTTTTTTTTTTAATTATGTCATAGATTGGCACCTTGAAAAAAATTCTATTTGCCATCCTTGATCTATGATAATCTATGTGGTGTGCGCACACCTGCACATCTAGGCACGAGCCGCCACTGAGTTCTAAGACATTTCGAACTTTGTTCTGGTAAACTCGTGACTTAGTGTATCCTTATAAGAAAAAATGACACGGTGACAAGTCGCAAGATCGAAGTGGGTAGCTTTGGTCTCCACGCAAATGAGATTAGTAAATCCGGGAACTTCTCACGCAGCAGAGGGATTGTTTTTCTTGAAGTGTAACAAGTTGCGCCGTCTTGTTGTAACCATACAAGAATACCTACTGAGCTCAGTAATTTTCTTTGGTCTTATTTGGAACAAATGAACATAAGATATGTTTGATTTCTACTTGTCACACTCCAAGAGAAACAATCCTTCTGCTGCATGAGAAAAAAACTAACCGAAGTAATCTTGCAACTTGTAGCCGTGTGTGGTTAACAACGAATTTTGGTTGTTTTTGAGTGACAAAAAGTTAGTAGGTAAACTTTTTTACCCAATTACATTATAATCTACTTATTTCTTACTAATCTACTCAAATAGTATAATACTAAATTTTAAAATATTATATTCATATTTTTTTTAAATCAGGCAATATAGCATATACTCGTAGGAATATTATTACAACTGGTAAAGTAATAAGTGCACGATGTACGTCATACAACTCACTACATGTAACGTAGATTAGGTACACTTATATAGCCATACTGTCTTGTATTTGTGTCTCATAATTGAGGCTTTACAATATACTATGGAACAAATATCTTGTTTGACGATAGTAAAGTATTTATGAAAATACAATGAACGTTACGAAAAACTAATTTTAAATGTACCACACAATAATATGAACGTATTCATAATCGACATTCGTATATTTTATAAAACACAATAAACACCATATTTATAAATAGGTACCTACACGTACTTCACCTGTAGTTCCCTTCCAGACACCTTATAGGCAATTGTCAGTCAAAATCTAAGTACTATTTGAAAACATTGGTTGGTTAAATACATCTATATATTTTTAAGGTGTTTAGTTTCAAACCTTAATATTTATGTATTAAATAAATATTTTTTAAAGAGTTTCAGAAGTATTTCATGATTCTTGTTAAAATACAATTTCAAATGGTTTCCGTGTAAATCTTTATATCCCTATTAATATATAATGATTATTATTTTAAATATAGAAATTCGAACTTAATTGAGAATTCAAAACGATTCAAAAAGCATTAAACTATTACTTAAAAGAAAATTCAATTTTTCAATTTAACAATTTCATTTTTAAAATCAGTCATAGACATTTAAAAAAATAATGAATATATCGTTTCAAGTATTTTAGATTTTGCATTCAATTATGGCTATATAAGAAAAATAACTAGAATTAGGATTCTTTAAGTATTTACTTTTGTTGGTTTAAAACAAAGCCATATCAGCTGATAAATTTGATGTATTCTGTGTATATGGCATAAATCAACGTTAAGTGTAGAAAAATAATATTTTATTTCTTTTTTTTTTTTTGGGCTTTATTTACTTTTAAGTTGATTTTGTTTGTTTTAATATCACAAATTAAAAATTTTTCAAAATTAATTCTTGATATAAGTATTTGAAATAATTGGAAGTTTAATATTTCTTTTAAGATTATATTATGTTTGTTTTAAAATTATGGTTTAATCAGTTTTATCTCGTTTAATCGAATTTATCAAAATAGGAAAATTGGTTGTCAGCAATATTCAGCATAAATGTTGGGGTTAAAAATCTCAAAACGAAGTTTAACGAGGTGGAAAATCAACAGGGTTGGGTTAGTTACTTTACTCGTTACTTATTACTTAAATGTATATAAATTACATTTTACATGACTCCAATAAAATCGTAATAAAATTACTTTTCAACAAAAAAAAGTAACTATGTTACTTTCAATTTGCAATTAAAATACAATTAAAAAATATATTAACTTAACATTAAACACTATAAAACAAATAATAATATTACTTACTACCTACAATGTACTTTTTTTAAATTTGATGAACTGATCTTCAATGTTGATGACGGTTTCGAATTTTGAACATGTAAATTACATAATACTTTTTTCCATTATTCGACTCATATAAACATAATTAATCATAATTAACCAATATATTTTGCTGAAAAGTTTGTTGGTTTACTTATAAGTTACTTTCCACTGTGTTACTACCCAACACTGGGAAACGAATGTACGGTAGAGATGAAATCGGATAACATATACAAATTTAACATTTTTAAAGATTATTTTTTAATATGGCATGAATATAATATTATACTATAAACATGCATTTATAAAAAATATTTGACTTTGAAAAATGTTTTAAGGATTTTATATTATGAAATTTCAAATTTTACTATCACCCTTGAACATTGAATACATTTAATTTATGTATTATTTGTAACATTTTTAAAATTTAAAAAATTAATTTAGATAACTGCTTTTCTGCTATCAGGATAAATGTTAAAGTTTCAGTAAAATAAAATATTTCTTTGAAAATTTAGAACATGTTTTATGTTAATATTGGTAGAACGTAGGCGTTATGTAAAGGTATCGATAATACATAATACATAATATAGTTGACTAGATAGTTGACTATCGGTAGAATTAGTCACTGTGTGTTTTAAATTTTCCCGAATAGTTGGTACAAGCAACTACAATGGTCTTATTTGTTCATAATGACAAAAGATTGTTACTATTTCTGCATTATTATTCAATTTATGAACTGGAGAAACGTAATGCACGAAATGCACAGAGAAAAGGTTGTGGTCGTTTTGCGAAAGCAGGAGAGTAGTTATACAAATGTTGAGACACAAAATATGGTCTAAGTATATTATATGAATATAGTAGAAATAGCTCAGTACGAATGCACTATTTTACACATTTGTTCGGAACAACTTCTATTTTGTATGTCTATTGGTAAAAAACGATACATATATGTTTACGATAAATATATATAATATATATTTTTGCATACCTAAATAAATAAAATCAAAAATCACATAAATCAATCAAATTATTTATTATAGTATCACAATATTATACCTACCTAATAACGTCAATTTTGAAGTTCCGAGAAAGTAGTTCCTGACCGTAGAAAATTATAATGATGAACGATATAAAATAGTAGATATCATATTATGTCTGTAAATTAGTAGCGGTTATGCATGACGTTCAAGGGGAGGCCAAAATAAAGCCAACCCTCACCCATCTCATAGCATTTTTATATACATACATATAATATATAATACACGTACGGATTAATAGGTATAAATGTATAAAAATCTATTGACTTATATAATTTATTAATTAATAATTATTATAATTGTAATAATATCGGTCATGCGCCACCGAAACACCGAGTATGGTAATCAGTGGCGGCTCGTGAGGTTCACATAAGGTGGTCCACAAATATTTTGTAAGATACCTATGTAGGCAGGAAAAAAAAATGAATTTTATTGTAGGTATGGGTACATATAACGTACTTACTCGTAACAACGTATCATTTCCTAAAGTTCCTTAAGCACTTCGTCACGGTAAAATTAAAATAACTTATTATGTATAGGTAGGACATAAACACAAAATCTTGTTTCTATGATCGACGTGTTACACCAATGATAAAAATTAGTCCGGGGCACACAGTTGTGTATTTAGACTTGCTTCTAGAAGGGGGGGGACTTACATTTTTTCTTCAATTCAAGCTCAAAATTTGCAAGTTAAATTTTTGGTAAAATTTAAATCAGGTGAATCCTAATAATATGTGTTTTTTTTTTAATCTAATGCCAGATCCACTTAGAATCGACTTTTGTGTAATTCTTTTTTAACACCTGTCTGTGTTTTAAAAGTTACGCTTGTATTTTATTTGATTTTTTACTAAGTATGGACCCGACATAAAGTCCAATTCAGTATTCTCAGCAATGTGTAATTTGATTTAGTTATAAAATGATCCACATTAAAAAAAATTTGAAATGTGTATCTCACATTTAATCAATTCCTTAAATATGGATTCAGGGCGAGATGATCGCCCCTTCGCCTCCGTAAAATGCACCCATGGGTGTACACATCGATTGTGCTCCAAACAACTATGTATTACTACTAACCAACATGTCTACGCATGTAGCTAACTTTTGTATGATAATCCGGAGAACAACGAATTGCTCCGTTAATTATTTAATCGCTAATAAACACACTTCTCAACACGAAAAGTTGCTAAAACTTTTTTTTTTACCAATTACTTCTGTTAATTACAGACTATGTGCATAATAACCGATTATAATTTACTATAGGAATATCATAATTTTTTATATAATTTTTTTGGGTGATTCACGTGCACCATAGCACGAACCCCCACTAATGATAATATATTATCCATGATTAAAACGGAAAAATATTTTTCTATTAAATCATAAGTTCGAAAATTGGCAGGTGGGTGTTGTTGGTCTAGTGATATACTAAATTTAAGAAAACCAAATTCTAAGGGGGCGATCAACTAATCGCCCCTCCCCTTATAACCGCCAGTCGTAAATTATACATAAATAATTCTGCACGTATATCAAGGTTATTTCACTTCAATCAACCGGACGATTGTCACTTGTTTGACTGACACTCGTATAAAAAGTACGTTCTCGGATAGGTAATACTTGTTTACGTTCCTGTGCGTATAAATTAAATCCAACAGGACATTAGGCGAGCATACTTTATCAACAGAACAATGTTCGTTTGGACCGTTATGGTAACAGTTTGTTTGGTGAGTGCAAAATAATCATATTATTATATTGTTGATTGAAATTTTAGTTAAATCGATAAGCAAGAGAATATAATGTTTGTATATATCAATACGAGCACTCAGATACTCGTATTTTCACTACTAGTATTTTCTATGAACGAACTATTACATATTTTATTTTGATTCAAATGTCAACAATTAGTTCTTTGGATTCTTCAATACGATCTACCATTTGAAATTTATCAGTTACTTTGAGGTATCGATGTTTGAATCACCTTTATAAATTATAAGTATACTAGTAGAAAAACTTCTAGTATCTCAATATATTTATATTGTTATTTTCATGGTTTAGAATTTTTACACTACTTTTTATCAAAAAATACATTAATTTAATTTAGCATATTCTCCTTAAAATTACTTTTGGTATGAAATAAAGAAATATTTTATGATACAGGATCAAAATGTTTGTAGAACCTGTATATTTTTCTCCTCACTTCTTGTTGTAGGTCAACATTTACCGATGTATTACCAGGGTCGGGTGAAGAAATAGGCAAGCTAGGGGGAGAGGGAAATATAGGGGCAGAGGCTAAGTTAAAATAAGAGCTCAGTTTCTTTTTAGAGTCGTCAACATTTGATTTTGCCTAGTGCACTATTTTTGCTTGGGTCGGCCCTGTGTATTCTTCATTTTGTTTAGTTTGTACCCTCAAATTTTTTTAAATTTCTCAACATTTTCCCAAATAATTAAGAAAAACTGACTTTTTGGGATACTTTAAAATGTTTAATATTTCCTAAATTAATTTTTTTTTCGTAAAATGTCAATAACATAATTTTTGATTGACAAAAATCTTGATTTATATACAGAGTTCCTGGTATATTGTTGTTACTCGAGTAGAACAAAATTTTTATATGTTTTGAAATTTTGAAAAACCTCAACATTGAAAAATAAAATTATAAAAACATTATATTTAAATAAAATATAGTAATTCTAATTATTTAATTGGTAAAGTAACTAAAAGTATTTAAATATAATGTCTATATAAATATGGTTTTAATAGTTATTACTAAGATCTGGATTTTTATGCAAATGCATAATCTTCTACAATTCGTCTCGTACTGTAAAAATTTATATTGATATTTTTAGTTTGTATTGTTTAATACAACTATTACACCATGCTAATTACTGATTACTCCTTAATCTTTTTATTGACTTCCCATCTGCGCATATGGCACGGCTAACTTGATCTTAATATCAATAATTTCGAGTCAAGTTTCTTTAAATCGGTGGTGTGGCAGTGACGAGTCTTCTTTAGTGACAAGGTCCATCTCGGGCCTCTTGTGCCTATCTAACTTAACCTAACCTAATCTACGGTCTATACATATTGTACATATAATAGTATCTATAATTTGTGGAAATTTGAAACAGGCGTATAATGCTGATTTCTCAAAATAGTAGTGTAATCGATGATTTCCCCATAAGAATGTTGAACGTTTTGTTTGCTTTCAGACGCTAAACGGACCGTGTTCATCGTTAAAATATCCGAATGACTACGGGCCGACGTTGTTCGAGGGCGGTCGCAATAATGTAACGTTCGACTTCATAGTGGTGGGTGCCGGTAGCGCGGGTGCGACGGTTGCGGCCCGGCTGAGCGAGGTACCGGAGTGGAACGTTCTGTTGTTGGAGGCCGGCGGCGACCCTCCTGACTACACGGAGATCCCGGTGAAGTACAGTGAGGCGCTGAAAAGCGAGTACGATTGGGCGTTTTTCACGGAGCCCGAGCGAAACCGGTTCAAAGGGCTAGAGGACGAGAGGTGTCTGATATCCCGGGGTTATATGTTGGGCGGCTCGTCGTCCATGAACGCAATGATGTACGTGCGGGGAACGCGGCAAGACTTCATGGAGTGGGAACGTCTGGGCAATACCGGATGGGGTTTCGATGACGTGCTGCCGTACTTCCTGAAGTCGGAAGACTTCACCGGTCACAAGCGATCCGATCCGGGATCACTACACGGCATGGGCGGTCCGCTCACGGTCAGCCCGTTCGAGTCCGTGGACCCGCTGCTGCCCGTCGTGTCGGAAGCGTGGCGCCGACTCGGCATGACCGAAGTGGACGATCTGAACAGGATCGCGCCGCCCGTGGTCGGATACGGTAAAGTGGACGGCACCGTTCGGCACGGTCTCCGGTGCAGTACGCTCAAGGCGTTCCTTGTGCCAGCCGGTCACCGGCCGAATCTGTTCGTGTCCAAAAACACGCGGGTGACCCGAGTGCTGGTGGACGACCGAGGCGCGGCCAATGGGGTGGAATTCTTAACGCCGTGGGGCGAGGCGAGGCACGTGCGCAGCTCACGCGAGGTGATACTGTCCGCGGGAGTGATAATGAGCCCGCAGATACTCATGGTGTCCGGCGTGGGGCCCAGGCAGCACCTGCGCGAGCACGGCGTACACGTGGTCAGCGACCTGCCGGTCGGTTACAATTACCAAGACCACGTGGCATTTCCGGGGCTCGTGTTCAGCGACCGCAAGCACCGTCCGCAAGCAGAGATGGCACGCGAGGCCGAGCAGCTGATCCGGCGCACAGTCAACTTGACATCCAGCGGCGTGGCCACGCTGGGTATCACGAACCTGATGGCGTTCGTGCGGAGCACACGGTACGCGGAGCACGCGGACGTGCAGATGATACACATCCGGGTCCCGTTCAACAGCACCCGGAAGACGTCGGACGGCAGGAGCAAGTTGTCCGGCTTATTCGGGTTCTCGGACGCCACAGCCGCGCTGTACGACCGGTTGAACACGTTCAGCGACATGCTGATGGTGATACCGGTGAACGTCAACGCACGGAGCGTGGGCCGGATCACGTTGAGGTCCGCGGACCCGAGGGTGTACCCGAGGATCTACGCCAATTACTTGTCGCACGACGACGAGTTCGAGGTGTTGTTGCGTGGCATCGACTACGTGGTGGAGCTGTCCAGGACCGAGCCGATTATCAGCGCGGGCCTGGTGCTCGAACCGATCGAGTTCCCTGGCTGCCGTCAGCACGTGTGGGCCACCCGGGACTACTGGGCGTGCGCCGTTCGGCACGTGGCCACGTCGTTCTACCACCCGGTGGGCACGTGCAGAATGGGACCGGACGGCGATCGGCGATCCGTCGTCGATCTGACGCTCAGGGTCAGAGGCGTGCACGGGCTGAGGGTAGTGGACAGCTCGATCATGCCCAAGATTGTTTCGGTGAACACCAACGCGGCGACCATAATGATCGCGGAAAAGGCGTCCGACATGATAAAAAAATGTCACGGCAAGGCTTAATAACATAATATGGATCGTCATCGGATCACGGCACGTCAAAGATAACATATCATACCTAGCCGAAATTTAATATACGAACTGCGGGTAACCGAATGTTCTCTACAAAGCGATTTGTATGTGTCGTCCTTTTCCACTATTTTTTTATTATGACTTCCTCTCCGTAGATTATTACGCAAATTCCACTCGATACAATTATTCCCTAGTTTTTAATTATCAGTCCCTATTTCCCTATTTTGATTATTCACGTATTTCTTAATTGTTCGATTACAGTACTATTAAACGTGTAAGTGTTTCTATAAAATAATTCACGGTACCTTCCGGTAGTACTATGATAACAATTTTTAAATTTATTATCATACGAAAAAAAACTGCAGACTTTTCTTATGCGGTGTAATTAAAGAATACATAACTATCAAACCCTACAACATTTGTTCTTTGCTTAGAGAAACACTCCATAAAGTACGTGTCTTAAATCATTTGTATTAAATACTCATCCCAACTGGCAAAAATTATGAAGCGGGCACTTTAATATTATCGCATTCATCTATCTGCACAGTGTAAAGTCGCATTCATATTCAATCAAGATGAACCCATACACCAGTGTCAGCACGTTGTGTCATCAACCATACAATCCTAGTCTGAGTTCACTGCTCACAATCCATAATTTTTATACGTTTTTATGAATTGCTTTCAGAGCTATCATTAGCATTTTTTCATAATTATTACCGTCAATGCTAAATGCTTAATTACTATGCTTCATATTCCATAGTCATATCACCTTTAGACGATTCACTAGATTTATATATTTTATGTATATTATTCATATCTGTTGTTGTTTCGCGATATTCTTATCTTATTATGCATATAGGTGATATATTAACTATAATATTACAATATATTGAGTAATTGTGTTGAGCTGGGATTAAAGCAAATAGCTAGTCAACACGTGGTGCTCTGAAAAAAAAAACATAGGTACGTATGTTATAAAACACGTATACAAGCCGTACAACTTAGACGCGTGCAATAGGTATAACGAGCGCATTTGACCGTGTTGAGACTTCTCCCGTTCTTATAGAAATGAATGTGTGTGTGTGTCTCTCTGTTTATATGTATTGTCTGTTTTTAAACATGTAAATACGTATAAAAAATACTGTCTACAACGCGTAAATATAGAACCCATACATAATTTAACGTCGTCTAGGGCCTCCGTTTGTCGCGTCCCCAAACAAGAATGGCTTTCTTATTATTATTTATATTATTGAATACACTGTCTCGTCTATCTACTGCAGTAATAAACATGTTTACTTGTCTTTTGAGTCCACAAAACGAAATGCGTCTACAGAATTCACAAGCAATATATTCTTAATAGTGGTCTATAAATTTTATATTTTCTGCATGGATTTTAAAGAATTAAGTGCCAACCATTAACTTCAGTTAGCAATTGTTTTATTTAAAATTATAACATACTTAATGAGAAAAGCAAATAATTAGACAAACTGAATAGCATTAATAATATCAGTCATGGAAATTTGATAAAAAATAAATTTTTGGTATTTCGTATTATTTGTTTTCCAATTGTAATCTAATTTTACATATTTTAATAAAAATAAATATACCTTGAATTAAATTTTACTTAAAATATCTATAATTACCTTAATTCAAGTTATCATTAGCTATTGATCTGCGTTGAATATCAAAATATATATACTTTAAAAACGATTTTAAAAAAACTTATAAAACTACCTTATGTGTACTTTATATTATTAAAATGCCAAAATGCATCCACGCTTTATTACTTAAAAAAGTATCTAATTTTCTCGAAAAATTCTAGAACTATTGTTAAAAGATACTAACATACAGTTTCGCCTACTGTAAAAATATTAAAAACGTCGAACATGGGTAAATTAAAAAGTTTCATATATATATATATGATTTTTTGTTTTTCTATTACAATGCATTTTAAATATATAAATCCAATTAATAATAATATTTATTTAACAGTTTTGAAATTATTTACAAGTTATTGTTATTTTTTTGTTACACTGCATCGTCTATCACGAAGAATAATACCTTGTATTGACAGATGTGAACCTTTAAAAAAAAAATAATAATACTTATAGAAAATACACAATGTTTATATAATATATACAATAATAATACTGATTAATATAATAATAGGTTTTTTACAAAATAAGAAATAAAAATTAATGATAAAGAGAAATGTATTGATAATACAGTTATAATAAGGATTTATTTCATATCTTAACAAACATATTTTTATTAATCATTTAAAAACATCAAATGATAGGCAACTTTTTTTTTATTAAATTTTATTGAATTATAAGCTGATTTTACATAACGGCCAACCGTTAATCGCATATAAATTTGTAGATATCATAGATATTACGGATGTACTTAATGAAGGATATAATAAAACCATGATTAATAATTCATAAATATCTTTGAAAACATGATAAAAATACGTGTTAGAACTACAACGAAACTAACGTCGAAGAGGAATTCAGTATTTGACGCGATTAATTAATTAACCTTTTTACTACATAAGATTTAAGATAATTCTTACAAATCGAATTATATTTTATGTTCATAATAATAAATAATAAATACTAATATGAGGAGTAGACAATAATATTTGATGTATATATATAAAATCAAACCTAAGTATTATACAACGAATTGATTTGAACATTTCTTGATACAAACGCTGCAAATGCCCTTAGTTATTGACTACAATATCTACTTAGATGGATATCACATCACGATTCGGACGAGATTATATAGTTCGGTTGTCGATCCCATTGGCTTTGGCATTTGGCATCGTCATCGTCGTCTCATCATCATTGTAGTCGTCATCGTCGTCGCATCTACGACCGCTGTGTTCGGTTGTTGTGATGTTTTAAATTTAGAACGTGTGTAGGCCTTGGCGGTGGCAGCGTTAGCCGACGAGCACAAGGAAGTTAGGGACGAATACTGTTAATAGGCTAATATAGCAAACGACTTTGCAAAACTCAAACGTTGGACGACCACGTGTTGTACGAATGGCCTCCGAAGGAACGTGTCCTTCGGAGCCGCATTTACGTAATAAATAATGACGTTTTGAAGTGCGAATATGACGTGCGCTTGGAATTACGAATAAGGGAGTATAAAACAAAGAATAACTGAAAAAATACGTACGATGTGTATTCGATTTTTCAATTTTTCTTGATAGAATACATATTGTATAGCTTGTGAGAATAAGCATGTTCAAGTAAACGTTCCGAAAACATACGCATAATTGTACTAACCAACTACTTACGATTGCATTATCGTCTCAGCACATCGTACGGTTGTTTTAAGAAGAACGTTTATATTATGTTGTGCAGGCGGAACGATGTGATGATATTACGGTTACGGTAATTTCATTATTCGCACGTGAAAGAAATGTATTACGTTGTTATCGGTTTTGCGCTTTTGATGATTTTAACGATAAATAAACCTATAAATGGCAAACTTGAAAATATATATGCTGAAGGTATCGGACAATGTTAACTTCGAAGTTTATTAGTTCATACGCGTGCGTTATTTGATTGTAGAGAAATGTTAGTGGCAGTGACGGTGCTAGTTTGTGAGGGCCCTGGGCAAAATTAATGTTAGGTCTTATGATTTATATTAATAAAATATTTTAAGTTCAGTTAAATCAGAACCGTGGGGACTTAATTATAATTTAAGACGCGGGGCCATGGGCAACTGCCCCTATTGCCCACCCCCTCGCACCGTCCCTGGTTAGTGGTACCGAACAGCACCTCGTTTGCCATCTAGTCGTGTTTTCCGGAGGCAAACGGAAAAATTGCGGCACGCGTGCCTAAGTATGTCGGCATCCCGCTATTGCCGCATCCACGGAGGAGCGAGGTGCAGAGTTGTTTTTCTATTATTCTGTACGAGTCAATCGTTTGTCTCCAGTAGGGGGGGGGTGTAAGAAGGGAGTCGAAAAAAAAGGGTTTGAAACAATAAAAAAATAGGAAAACGTTGCGCGAAACCGACGGCGTGTTTATTTATTTAGAGGAAAAAAAAAGCGTTTACGTTGGCAGCCCCGCGCGCACGCGAACGGTAGCCGTCGGCGCGCGGGACATATTTTAAATAGCTCGCGACGGACCGTATGCGGCGATCAGGACGCGAACGCCGAAACTGCAGTCGTCCCGGTTGTTTGCCCGCGCTCGTGTACCAGTGCGTTACCGTAGCGTTTACTCGTTTGCACGTGTGCTTGTGTCCGGTGTGTGGTACGCGTATGTGCGTGCGCGTGGTGGTGCGACAACGTTATAGCGACGGATGGACGTTTAAAAGTACAAAGAATTCGAAGCGGACGGCGTTGGAGCGGTGTAGAAGTGATCGCATAGCACGTGCGATATAAAGACCCGTGTGTCGTAGAGACCGTATAGCTCTCTGCCTAAACGTATATAAGCGGTCCGTCGGAGCGGTAGAGCGGCGGCTAATACCGCAACCATCGGGTTCGATGCGGCGGCCGTCATGGGCGGCGGTGGCGTCGGCGGAACGGCAGCGCTGGCCCTGGTGCTGTTGACGGCCGCGGCGACCGCGGTGGTGGCCGCGGTCGGCGCGCGGGCCGAAGTGCTCGGGTACACGGACACGGTGTGGCTGGACCGGCAGGGACCGCTCAAGGGACTGGTGACCACGGTGGGCGACGGCGAGCAGCGGCTGGACCGGGTCGAGGTGTACCTGGGCGTGCCGTACGCCGCGTCCCAGGAACGGTTCATGCCGCCCGGCGAGTCGCCCACGTGGTGTCCGAAAGCGGCGGACGGGTCGTTCGACAGGAGCCACTGCAGGCCGCTACGCGCCGAGTACCTGAAACCGGTGTGTCCGCAGCGGCCACCCGACATGCTGGTGGCCGGTTCCAATAAGCGGCTGTCGGTTATCCGGCAGAACTTCCTCAAGCGCATCACACCGTACATGGGCAACCAGAGCGAGGACTGCCTGTTCCTCAACATATACGCGCCGCACGGTAAGCACAACGGCACCGCCGTATCGTTATGGGAGTGTGTGTGCGCTTCGCGTTCAATAGCGTTGCGCGGTCCTGATGTTAAGTGTGCGTTTTACAAACGAACACGTGTCCCGTCTGTCGGAACCGAATATCACAGAACTCGTTCTGTTGGTTTCATCGGGAACGAAAATCGAACGTTCGCTTGGTGAGGAAGGGAGCGCGGTCACGACCCCTTTAAAAATCTTCTCAATCTTCTCGTTGCGATGAACACATAATCATAATTATTATTGACGATTTTACTGCGTTTCAAATGCACGCAATCGAATCGAACATAATGTCGGACGGTCTAAATCAATCGATTTTTTATCTTAAAGAAAGATGCGTGAACTTTAAGTATCTGAAAACACTTCTAACACGACCCAGTCTCGACAAACCAAGTACATACATAATCGTCACGTACTAATATACAATTCTCGATAAGCGTGACTTTCTGTTGTTATTTTTTCACATTCTTTCGTCTCTGGGTATTGATTTTAAGCCATTCGCGGCAATATTTTTCAATTTTCTAATATTTTAATTAAGACCGATCGAAATCACGCAGTGAAATTGATAAATGTAGGTAAAACTCGTAACAATATTCTAGCCGCGATAGAGTAATTATAATACGCTCCGAGTAATTAATTGAAAATTAAAATACGCTATCTTACATTTGAACTCTGAAAAAGTCTTCCAAAAAGCGAACGATTTTACTATCGTTGATTAACACCATTGACCCATGTAGTATTGGTACCGCTGATAATATTAACTATTTACCACCCATTTACACTAAAGAAAATCACAAATGTATAGAAATTATTACTCTGTTAATGCTCATTAGTAGAAATCAATCCTTTAAAATAAGTCTACTAAATATGTGACGGTGGATTGAATTAAATTTTGTACACATTTATCCTTTTAAATTATTCAATGTTATTTTATTTTAAGACCACAACAAATGAATGACACGGTTTTCAGGGTTATTTCGTTGATAACAATTTTTATTCTTTAAATTTACATTACAGGATGACTTATTCGTATTTAATAAATTTGAATACAAATTATATGGGCGTGTTTTTTTTTATGATTGCAAAGACCAATGAACAACCGTGATAATAATAGCACAGCCCGTAGTAAGAATATGATTTGCATTAGATTTTTCTCATTATATGATATTTATTTCCTTAATGGTTCAGATCGTCTAAGCATTAGGCTTTACTATTAGTATACTATAAATATTTATTACATAATTACATTATAAATAAATATTTTATACGTGTATTTTATTCTATTTTATTTAAAATTCAATATGTTTGAGTACGATATTTATTTAAAAACAATTATAAATATTATAATACGAATAGGATCAAAGCACTGTTCACTTAAATCTTGTTTTATATGATTCAACTAGTTTTCTATAGTTCTATAGTTTTGAATTTGTTTCACGCTTGTAGTTTGCAATTATTTGGGAAAACACTTTATATCAGCTTTATCTTTGAATATATTTAAATGCATTGTACCTATCTCGAATATCTGTTTTTATTAATTCGATTGCCATAAACCTCACCTAGAACGTTAAATACAATAATATACTAAGCGTATGGTATTTGTATGGCAGTAGAATAACAGTGACAAGATGTTTTGTGACTACTGGGTCTGAAATAACGGCTCCAAACGCGATGTTCCATGTGTTTGCTTCCGGTTTCTAATTACTTTTAAGAAAAATGTGGTAACAGAATCAGTGTTTGCTATAAAATTGACATTTTTAAGATCGAGACGCTTAAACGGGCCGCAGTGATAAGTTGTAAAAATAACTTCCCTTCGAACATCAAGTTAAAATATTTATTTCGATTAGTTTCTACGTAAATATTGTATTAAACATTTAGGGCCATGATCAGGCCCGTATTTAAAAATTTGGCACCCCCGGGCATATTATTTATGCCCCCTCCCCCCAAATATATATAATTATAATATAACACATTTCGTCCATAATCCAGATTCCTTAATATTAAAATTCAACTTATAATAAATGAAAATTGTTTAATACTTTTTTTAACTAACAAATTACAATATAATAAAAAATACAATTTTTTTTTAATATACAAATTATGACAATATAATACATACTATTTTCTTTTTTTTAAAGTAATTTTTTCCTTGCTTGATTATTGGCGAAATCTTCAATTATGTCGCAATAATTAATCTGATGAGTTAAATGAGATTCAATATTTAAAATTGCCAATGCATTTAGTCTGTCTATGGATATATTTGACCTTAGATACGTTTTTATACGTCTAAGTGTCGAAAATGACCGCTCTGCAATACAATTTGTCGCTGGAGTACAAAGAAACATACGTATGTATGTACGTATGTACTATACTCACATATGAAAAAATATCCTCCAATTCATGTTTTTTCATCATGATACTCATATCAATAATACTTTTAGGATGATATTTTATATTTTGTAGGTGACTTTGGAAATGGATGCATTCGTTTATAAAAGTTTCATCTAAATCATTTTTGTACATCAAATATAAATTTTCAACTGATACATATACTTCAGATGTTTTCATTTTTTCAAGTTTTAAAAAGAAACTTTACTTAGTTATTACATTATCATATGCCAAATTTTTAGTAGTCAATTCTTTAATTAAAGAGTCACAAAGTACATAATATGTATTGACTTTGAATTCTAAATCACCAGACAAATCCACTTCTTCTAGATCAACTATTTCTTCATTTTTTTTTGTTACTTTTTCTTTTACGTTTATAAGTTGTTTCATAAAAATTTACTTCACATTTTGTTAATGCTTTTTCTTGATATTGTAAAAACATTTCATCGTTTCTGAGATTTGAAAAATAATTTATTAATGAATTGTAATGTTCACAAACCGTACAAATATCAATATTAACTAATTGTAGAAGTTTACTAATGACGTTAAATCGTTAGAGCAAGTCTCTCCAAAATATTAACATAAATGTAGTTTCAATACGATTTATTACATGAAGTAAACCTCGAGCTTCATTACATGTAAAAATTTTTTTCATTTAAATTGTTTGATAAGTCAACTAAAGTTTGCTTCACCGATCCCCAGTTATCATTAAGAGTTTTACATGCATCATATTGCGCTGACCATCTCGTTTGAGATAGATTTTTCAATGTTAAATTAACTTTAAGTAGATCCCAACGGTGAGTTGAAGCTGAAAAAAAGGTATAAACATTCTGGATAAAACAAAAAAATGAATTAACTTCTTTACAACAACTAGCCGCATAAGATCCAATCAAGTTAATCGAATGAGCTGAACACGGAATAAAATCAGTCAAAGGTGCAACTTCACGGATCCTAGCTTGAAGTCCACAATAAACGCCAGACATATTTTTAGCGTTATCATATGATTTCCCACGTAAATATGAAATATCTAAATTGTATTTTTTTAATATAGAAAAAACTGCATCAGCCATATTTTGAGATTTGTGTCCGACATTTTCCAAAAAGCATAAAAATCTTTCTACCGGCAACCCGGTGTCCCGACAATTGAGCGCGCGACAATTGAGCGCAGACAATTGAGCGAAGACAATTGAGCGCGGCGAAAATTGGGTGCTGCGAAAATTAAGCACCGAGACAGTTGAGCGCTTTAACATAATATTATACTATACTGAGTAAAAGCTTAGTGCAGAACTGCTGTACATGAAATTACCAAATTAGAAATGAATTTGTTCGCAGTATCTGCGAATACCTATATAACCCGTCAGATAAATCCTTATGTTTGATGATAATCAGATAATGTTACCGATACGGTGTTATTGAAAGAATAAAATTCCAACAACGGTAATGCAGCAGTAAATGTAGACTCTTATCGCTGGATAACTACACATGTGAACTTTGCAAGGTATTTATTGATGTTATATTTTCACACGTGCATACTGAACACTATTCATTTAATTGTATAAAACATTTTAATTTTTTTAAATTATAATTTTGATAATAAAATGGAAATTATTAAAAGTCAAAAAGGTCGAGACCTTCTGTGCTATAACGGATATTTATATAGATTTGACAAAAACAATAGTTGGCGATGTATCGAATGCAATACGAAAAAATGTCGTGATCGTATTAATTTGATGAATAGTTAAATTATTAAAGAAAGTGAAAAATATATCGCGCTCAATTGTCTTAGAGCTTAATTTTCGCAGCGCTCAAGTTTCGTGCGCTCAATAGTCTTCGCCCAATTGTCGTGCGCTCAATTTTCTGCGCTCAATTGTCGTGAATCCATTTTTAGCGTTATCATATGATTTCCCACGTAAATATGAAATATCTAAATTGTATTTTTTTAATATAGAAAAAACTGCATCACCCATATTTTGAGATTTGTGTCCGACATTTTCCAAAAAGCATAAAAATCTTTCTACCGGCAACCCATCACTGTTAACATACCTAAATATAATTGAAAGTTGATCAATATGACCAATATCAGGAGTTGAATCAATGCTGATTGAAAAATATCGAGCTCTAATAATTTCTTCAACTACTTTATTTTGTACTTTTATCGCCATTAACTTAATAAATTGTTCAAATGTAAAATGAGACAAATAGTTTGTGTGACCTTTACTATGATTTCCATGAGTTGATATATGTTTGGCTAAAAATGGATCAAATTCTGCTATCAATTTGAGACATATCATAAAATTACCATTGTGTAAAGACCCAAACTGCTCATTATCACCTCTAAATGGCAAGCCACGGCATGATAAAGATTTCACAACAGCACAAACCCTTATTAGGACATTTTTCCAATATTCTTTTTCTGTTTCTATTTGATACTGAAGAGTTTTATCAATCCTATTTAATTCTGAAGATCTATTTTTCATTTTAATTACACATGTTTTATGTAAAAGGGAGTTTTTATGTTTGTTGATTGATTTTGGTCTTTTCCAATCTGAGAAACCATTTCTTGAAAATGTTGAAGAATTTTGAAATAAA